AACTGTTACTCAAACTATCTCAATGATGCGCAACTCATCAACCACATGGCGATTTTAGAGCTTCCATAGTAACAGTTTTTCTCACGCACGCACTTGAAAATTGTGGCAAACAAGCGCGTGTCGCGTGTGCAGCAGCCCACTCGGCTAACACGAATTAAACGCACCACACCCTCTCTGCTCTCTTTCACAACCTTCAACTTTCACTATACAGCCGTTAAAGTTGTCTCGCGGGAATACGACACTCGAGCGCTCAAAATACGTTGCTTCATCGAATCTTCATTCATAAATATTTGTAATTTTTAGCCCACTCTATTCATACACATTTCGTAATTGAAAACTGACCGTATCGTTAAAAAGTGCTAGCTAACTGTTATTGTTACTATTTTTGCCCTACACTTGTTCGTGGCAGTAGCTATTATACGTATGATTACCGTTATTATCGAACATCAACGCAACTGACTTGTTGCGAACATTTATTTAATTTCATTTTGTAGAATTATCTGGCGCTTAAGTTACAAGTAACCAGTTGTCGAGATTTATTGGGTTGTCCTTTGGGAAAAGATGTGGTAAATTATAGAGAATAAGGCGGAAGTAATTTTGCTGGCGGTTGTAACCGAAGGACACGAAACAAACTAGTTTCTTTCATTTCACTTAATAAACTTAATTAATAAGCATGGGAAAGTAAAATAAAGCACTTTGACTGTGATTTTTTTTCTCATGCAAATTATCTTTATTGCCTAATCCGAACGAAACTTCTGGGAGAGGTACTTCCTTTCCAAAAAATAGTACGAGCTATAGGCATGTAAAAGTAAGATTGATCTGATCTGAAACTTCTGGGAGAGGTCGCTCCTAACCAAAAAATAGTACGAACTGTAGGCACGTAAAATCATCTGCCAACTTTGGACCGAATTTTAAAAGTCGAATCGTGAACTATGACAATATGCTCTGCGGGTTAAGGGTAAGGCATATCTGTCGCAAGAAATAGTTAGTTCCCGCAATTGTCGGGGCTTTATACAGGAATTATCCGTCTAAGGACTGTCACTAACGCAATGTTAATTTAGAATACAACAGCAAAAATGTATGTCGAGTCGGCACTAGAAGTTTGATAGAAAGAAAGTGTTTTGGAATATTTATGAACTTCTTCCTACTAATGATGCCAATTACAACCGACAATGGAACTGTATGTGTTGTGAGAAATGTACGGGTTCATTGATGTAGTTCTAGAAATCATACAATTTTAACGCCAAGCTTGCACTCCTCTACGTAACCACTCTTCTCAAGAACCTATACTCTCCCGCCTATGCGGCGATGTCAGCCCTACTTCTGCTCAGGACGTCAAACAACTATTCAGCGGTACTTGCCCAATTCTGTGTGCAAGCCCTTAGATCATAGCGCTTAGTATTTTAGAAGTTATAGTTTCCAAGTTTTGTTTGTTTTTTAAAGGGGGCCGTGTCTAAGACACAACTCAAGGGCTTGATGAGCGATGGAGTTTAAACGAATATACCGAGTCATATGTTTCATGATCGACGTCTTGAATGTGTTCTTAAACCAAATTTTGTTGGAGTAAAGTTTCTCTTTGTACGTTGTTGTCCCAAGCTCTATAGATAGCATTATATGAAAGACTAGAAGCCGACCATAAAAAGTATGGTTAGGTTGTTGCAAAACTAGAGTTTAGTGATAACTACAGTCGTAAAAGGACACCCTTAGAAAATTAATTGTTTTTACAGTCGAGCTTTTAAAGGGACTTCGACAACAAGCACTTGAATACCAAAGAGTGAGGTAACTAGTCTTCTAATGTTCTTTTCATTTCGTCTGCCTGTCTTGGGCTACCACTAGTTGAGTGAGTCCCAGTTTAGACTGCTAGACATGGTATGGCTTACCAGGCCTTATAACCACATACAATGCGAAGAGCATCTCACAAATTTTAATAACCAATAAAAGATGCTTTAGTGCTTAGTAGGTTATTTACGAAAAAAAAAAACTTTTTTCCACTTTTGAATTATAAAATGTTAATCAAATCATTAATTTATTATTTCCAAACACATTTTCTAAAAATCCAAAAAGTGTGCCACACAAGTCATACCATTCTCATTTACTTCATTTAGCAGTTATGATCACATATCACAAAATAAAAACACACAAATTTAATATATAAATATTTACATATTCCACCTCTGAAATGACCAAATATTTTTACACTTTTCAATACACGTACACAAACACAAATTTGCACATTCACCAAAGAGATAAAGAATTTTTTATTTAATTAAAAACCATATACATATGTGCATACATATACTAGTATATATATGACAGAAAATCCTGAAACCCCAGAGATACACACCCAAACACTCACTCCACTCACACACACATACACACTATTAGGTATTTGTTGTAGGATGAAATGTGGTATTATAGAAAAATTTACTCATATTTTGTTGAATTCTTTTAATTAAATATCAAATTTCAATTCCTTTATGCTGAGAAAAGAATTCAAAACAATGCATGAAGAATGGTCACTGGTGGGATCAGCAGTGCTGGTGGCTGGTGAGTGGGGGTAAACTGTATTGAAATTGTTGTTGATATATATATATATATGTATATGTATATATATATTTATTTACTGGTGTTTGTGGTATTTATTTTTGAACACATTTGCGGTGCGAAAACTCAGCTGACCATTCACACTTCCATAGCAATGTAAATAAACTTATTGCTTTGTTTTCTCTCCAAGGCTGCGCACACTTCGCGCTTTCGCACTTGCAAGGCATTACCCATCAACGTGCCATCATTATTATTAGACACACGAATGCTTTGTTGATTAATGAGCAACTAATTATTATCCCGTTGAGCCGACAAACGCTTGCGCAAAGTAATATAGAATCTAGTTTTTCTAATTTATCTGTCGTAAATTTGCAATGCTCATAATATTTTTTTCACGTACATACTAAACCAAAAATAAAGGAGCACACACACTTCACTAGCTTTACTACGCGACCTTAGGGCTGGTACACAATTCATACCTTAAGCTCAAACATAAAGCCCAAGCCACCCGCTGTCAGTGCATGCGTCATCATCGGTATTGTGCCGTTTTTGTGGTAAAGGTGGTGAGATTATACGAATGCATGTTTGTGTGTTTGTATTTTATATGTGCAAACATATATATTTTTGGAGTAGTGGGAGCTAAAACAAATGCTGGTGTGTGTATATGTAGGTATAAAGGAAATAATTTTATTTCAATTTCCTTTGCGCTTTGTGCCCACCATTTTGTGCGCCAAACTAACCCCCAAAAATGTGTGAATTTTTAGCTGATATATATACATACAAACATACATATGTACATAAATAATTACATACTCGTACATACCCAGCAGTGTAGGCATTAATTTCAAGCAGCATAAAGCTAAAACAAATTTCTCTGCCAGTAGCTGAGTGGCTGCAGGCGGTCGTACTCATTACTAATTACATAATTATAATAACGCACAAATGCTGAATAAGTAAAGCAGAAATTATTAATATAATTTCCCGTTACATGGGAGAACCGCCAATCATATTGCTTTGTGTTTTTTGAGCGCACTTGCATACATATCATATTTGTGAAGTGTCAGAGTTGGGGGTGGTCAGGTGGTGGTGGCATAAAAAGAATCAAAAATGGAAAATAATATAAATCCTCATATTTTTTCTTTTAATTTGAAAGCTTTCGGTTTGCTTTGAAGCTCTTAATATCCACACTTTGAAGTTCTCAAGTGTTTAATGCATTTCAAGGCAATTCTGCGTTGCAATTTTTGACAGTTTATTTCTATGAAAGATTGATTGTATTGCTTAAGCACTGTAAATAAAAAATTCATCACTCTATTCCACGTCTGAGATCTTTGCAGCGGTGAACTCGCTTTTTTTCAAGTGAGTAAAACTTTTACGCAGCTTGCCAACGGCTGCCACTCTCCTGGCATTGCTCTTGTTGAGTTCAAAAGTCGATCGGTCGATGCTTGACGAACTGAACTATGCATCGAATTAGATTTTCAGGCCATTAGAGTGCTTTTCAGGTAGAGGTTGCGGTTTTTAAGGAAAAGATTGACTCTATTTTTGAAGTTCAAAAAACGTAAAACAATGCTTATCATCAAGATTAAAATCGGCGGGAGAAACGCTGGATATTGTAATTCTGATGAGCACGCGCACATAAGTCTCACCACTTTGCAACTGCTAGGACAAGGCAAATAAATACTCTTGTTTCAAAATGAGATCTGCTTCTGGCGAGGTAGGCATTGAAACAGCCTTTAGCTAGAAAATGCTGAGCTGATACTACCACGTGCGCGATTGTGAGATTTTTTTCATCAATTTCGAGCTGAGGAAGACCAAGAAGCTCTAAATAGGCTTCGACGAGTTTTTGCTCTTTAGTTCTTATAACTTCTATAACATCATCGGCTTGCTGTTGAGTCAAGCAATCTTCACTTTTTGGACTGAACATATTGTGCCTCTCTTAACGATTCATCTCAGACCAATTTAGCTGGATTTATATCACTGAAATCCCATCTTAATGTGATCCGTAGCAAGTACATATACATATATGTTTTTTAATAATTTCAAGTCTTCAACGTTGGTCTATGCTAACTTCAGAGGTTGTTTTATGGCTGCCGGGGCTTGGTTCGTATATGTTCTATAACCTTCATGGTGACTGCAACTTATGATTGAAGAAAGTAGCTTCTCGGGAATCCCCACCCAATACTGATCTCGGACATCTACACATATGATGTATGATGAAAAAAGAATGTGATTTTCCAAAGGCTTTCAGTACTTTCTAACATACCAAAGAAGATCTGTACATTCTCTATACGCTTTGGCATATATCTCGCTCCTCATCAAATTTTAAAAAATATTGTGAATTCAGTCTCCTTTTTCAGTTCGTGCAAACATTCTTTAAGACAATTAAACAATTATAAACTCTAAAATTTAATTTTTAAGCCAAAAACTCACCATTTTCCTTCCTTTTCCCTTCATTCCAGGTCTGGTTCCAGAACCGACGCGCCAAATGGCGAAAAACGGAGAAGTGCTGGGGACATAGCACTAAAATGGCTGAATATGGTCTGTACGGCGCCATGGTGCGTCATTCCCTGCCACTACCCGAAACCATACTTAAATCGGCCAAAGATGATGAATCCGTTGCACCGTGGCTACTAGGCATGCACAAGAAATCCCTCGAAGCTGCCGATATTTTGAAATCGGATGAAAGTGATCGTGAAACACCCACCTCAGACGACACGAATACCTCATACTCAGCCGGGAGTACACACAATTCGCCGATCTCCTCATTCTCCATATCGCGACTACTCTTCGATGCACCAAGCAAACACAAACGACACCACGATGTGAGTGGTAGCGGTGTTATGGGTGCTGCTGGTATGGAACTTGTTGCCAACGGTACTATGAGCGGTTTGGCTGAGCAAGCACATGCACAAGCGCATGCACATGTTATGCAACATCATCCCTACAATCAACAACAACACTTGCAACATGTACAACACCTCCAGCAGTTGCATCAACAACAATTGGCCGAACAACATGCTGAAGTCCAGCGACGTCAACAGGCGGCGCATCAACATCATCAACAACAATTGTTGGCGGCGGAAGCGGAAATGCAACGTAGGCGTCAGGAGGCGCACGAACAACGTGAACGTGAACGTGAACGCGTACGCGAACGTGATACCGATGCGGATGAGGAGCCAATGTGTGATGATGACGACGATGAATGTGATAGGGAAGAGATTGATATATGTGATGATGTTGATGATGATAAGGATATGAAAATGTTGCTGAGCGCTGAGAATGCGGCCAAGCGTATTAAACAGGAGTCTAGCGCGTCCATGGCGCTGGAGAGTAGATGAAATTTGTGCATAGATGTGTTGTTGTAAGGATGATAAAAAGTGCTTTTAATATTCACTTGCTTTGTTAAAAATTGGCAAATTTTCGCTTAAGTGTTTGATAAAATGAGTTTCAGTTTCTTATTATAGAGTTTCAGGGAAATTTTTATACACACATGCATAGAAAACTCTTAAAAGCTTAGGCAAAATAAAATTTGAAAAAATTAATTGACATTTGCATATTCACATTGGCTATATTGAGCATCAAGCACACGAAAATATATCGATTAACAAATAATCGATTACAGAGCTGCTTCGGCGCCATTGAAATTGATCAGCTGTTTAAAGCACAAGGCTTACGGAAATACGTTTGGTGATTCTCTTAAAAATACACTCATTTATTATGCATGTAACTTTTTACAAATTCATATTGTTCGTATTTTAATAATCAAACACCACACACAACGAATTTTTGTTCACCTAAATTAAAAGCAAACCGAAGAATATCTCACAATTAAAATGTTTAGTAAAAAAATATATATCGAAGACAACTTGCAACGACATGATCAATACGAAACACTTCTGTACATAAAATAAATTCACAATATAGTACGAAAACTAATCCATTTGGAGCACTGAATACACTGAAAGAAATTATTGTAGTAAAATAAAAAAATTCGCTTGAAGAACGATTGCAAGGAGTAAAAAAATATGAGCAACTTACACTTAAATGCACTTTATTTGACCTTGAATTTTTATGTACTGTACATACGTATGTACATATCTGTAGTTTTTAGATTTAAGAAATTTTCATTGTGATTTAATTTAGTAATTTTCTTTAATTTGTTATATATTAAGTGCAAGACCAGTGTTAATATAGTTTAAAAATATATATATTATATAAATGTACGAAATACATATTTCTGTAATCGTTTAGAAAGTCCAAAAGTGTTCTTTGATTATACATTTCTCGAAAAATTGTAATTTATGTAATTTAATGCAACAAAAATAAAACAATAATATAAAATTAAATGAAACTAAGGGAAATGGAATAAAATAAAATAAAACAAAATAAAATAAAATAAAATAAAATAAAAAATAACTCAAATAAAAATAAAAATATATAAAATGAAATAAATTAAAACAAAATAAAATAAAATAACATAAAATTAAATTAAGTAAAATAAAATAAAATAAAATAAAACAAAACAAAATAAAATAAAATAAAATAAAATAAAATAAAATTAAAAGAAATGATATAAAACAAAAAGATATAAAATAAAATTTAAAAAGGAAATAAAATTAAATTATGTAAAAATAAATTTAATAAATTTAAATAAAAAGAAATAAAACTTAAATAAAAATTAAAACAAAATTAAATTAAATAAAGTAAAATAAAAGGAATGAAATATGAATAAAGTAAAGTTTGCTTAAAGTAAAAAAAATATTGAAAAAAAAATAAAATTAAAAATAAAAACAAAAATGAAAATGAAATAAAATAATAATAAAAATAATTAAATTAAAAAGGGAAATAAAATTAAATTAATTAAAAATAAATAGAAATAAAATAAAAATAAGACTTAACACTAAACATACCATAACGGGTCAAATAACCCATTTTGAACTTTTGCATTGAAAATGCACGTATAATTTTATTGCGTTTGCACATTTGATTTCATGACTTTTTTTAAGTAATTAATGTACAGTTATAAAAAAATTTTGTTATTTGTTTTGTTCTGTTTATTCTGAGTAATCATTCTTGTAATAATAATAATGAAAATACGAAAAATTAAATAAATTTAAATAAATTAAAATTAAATATAAATAAAAAGAACAGTAAAAAACAATACAATAGTAAAATAAAATTAAATGAAATTTAAAAGAAAAATGCAAAGTAAATTAAATAGTGGAATTAAAAAGAAATGAAATATAACAATATAAAGTAAATTTTTTTAAGAAAATAAAGTAAAATAAAAATGAAGTAAAATTGATTAAAACAAAAAAACAGTTAAATGAAAAAAAATGAAATTAAATAAAATAAAATCAAAGAAATTTTAAAAATTTAAACAAAATAAATTAAAATCACATATATTCAAGTATAATAATATAAAATAAATAGCCCAAAATGAAATATAATAAAATAAATAACTCAAATGGAAATAAAATAAAAAAAAAAAATTATTTAAAGAAAAAAATTAAAAACAAATTAAAAGTCATGAATTTGATATTAATGAAATAAAATAGAATTCAAACAAATAAATTTAAAAAAAATAAAACAACATAAATCAAAGTAAAATAAAATAAAAATAAAATGTAACAACATGCAGCAAATAATATGACAAAGTAAATTAAAATAAAATTGAAGAAAATAAAATAAAATAAAAGTTATTCGTTTTGCTTAAATTATTTCAATACCCAAAGCATTGTAAATACATACCTATATACAAACTATAAATATTATAAACACTCATTTATTCTGCACATTATTAGATACACCATAAATAATATTGTAGCTTTAAAACACTAGATACTAACACAAGTAAAATCTATAATTAATTACAAACGCACGAAATCAAATGAACAATGAATCTTTGAAATAAGTAAATTATCTATTATATATAAAATTTAAATATACATAGTACACTTAGAAAAATGAATAAAGAAAATGTGAAATAAAAGAAATATATATGCAAATAAATTAAAAATAGTTGTTTTTTCTTACTTATTGTAGTATTCGAAATTTTGAACAGTCTACCAACCGCTAAGCTAATTAAGAGACAAACGTTTTAACAATGGACATTTTTTATTCACTTATTTTGATGAACTCTTGATACTCAAATAATATGACAATTGTAGAAATTTTTTATTTTATGCAGGATTATTCTTGAAAATATGTTTGAAAGGGTATATTTAGTGATTATGTATTAATCCCTTGTATTCATTAATTCATTGTATTGATTGTACTGTACCTAATTCGAAGATATATATATCTTTTTTACCCAAAATGTTGCTTAATGAATGTCCTAACTTTTATTTCCGGTTCCACTTGTTGTGAGCTATACGGAAATCTCCCAAAAGTATGCTTCAAAATATTTCGTGTAGATAAAGTTGCGTAAGTCTGTTAACACAAACTTTGCACTGCTTTATCAGCCAAACAAACTGGCAAAGCAGTTCATAAGCCGTCAAATGTGACAACCAATCTTCGAATACATTTTCGGAATTACATAACCTAACCTCGAAATTTTGACAATAGACTTTGGGAGTATTAGCGAATATTTTTGTATCCACGAAACGAGCAAACTGAAGCAAGTGAGTTCAATAATTTATATATTAACTTTATTCAAGTATAATTAACAATTTTACGCTCATTCACAGCAAAATGGCTGGAGAAAGTGCTGAGGATGCTAAATTGACTGGATTGTCCAAACATTTCAATGGCTCCACAATGCGTGGTCGCGCAAATGTCAGTGCATTGAGAATTACTTGTATTTATATTATTATATAAACATTTTCTTATATTAACATTTCAGGTGGCTAAGGCTACATATGCCGTGCTTGGTCTCGTCATTGCCTACAACGTTATTAAACCCAAGAAGAAGTAAGGAAATCATATTCGCTTCTGTAGACCTAAACATAGCTATGTACAAATCGTTTGAGCAGTGTAAAATAGATCAACTGCAAGTGGAGGAATGCTGGCCAATAGCCTTTTTAACTAGGCGTAGCTTGTTGTGGGGGAAAATTTATTTGCTTATTTTGCAAGTGGAAATGTGTGTTTTCATTAAAGTAAAATGTGAAATAAAAATGTATTGAAACGAAGGAATTTGTAAGAAAATATTTCATATATACCAATGCGTATACTAATGTAGGCATCGCCAGTTATGGCGCTGGAATTGTTTAGCAGCTGGAATAAAAATGTGTTGGGAAAATTTGGGAATTTGTAGCAGCTGCAGTTTCTTACTCATCTGATTTCTATCTAGGAATCGGAATGTTGACAATCGCTAATAAATTGTCTAGCAAAATCGCTTAACTGTTCTTTGTTTGCTAATTTTCTTAAGGATAGATTTAGTTCACCGAACGTGGGCAACAAAAACTTGGTGTATAACAATAGCTTTTAAGTAAAATTCTTAGAAATTTTTCTTTCTAGGCTTACAGTTTTATTAAGATTACTTTTCTTATATTAATTATCATCATTTTGGGCTTTCAATTCATATTTTTTAACGTTTACTTACATATTGGGAGTCCACAAAATTTCACTGTCCTGAAACAGGTTATTCATAGTAGTATGTTTGAAATTATTTGGGTATGTTGGCTTTTTAATTAAAATCCTAACCATTTAAATACTGAAGAAGTAATAAATTTATTTGAATTTTTTATGCAACACGTACATATGTACGCTATAAAGGAGCTTTTTTTGCGTGTTTAACATAGTGAAGCAAATAATTTAGTATCTAGATTTTAGGCTACAAAAAGGTTTTCATATTTCTGCATTCTGCTTTAATTTTGCATAGAAATATTTCTTGGAAGTGATGTTTATTACTATTTCCCGGTATGTTTTGGACTTGGGCTAAGTAGTTTGATAAAGTTCTTGTTTTTTTTCTCGATTACGAAAAGAGTAGTATTTTTTGGTGTTTTAAATATTTCTACGTTTACATGTATACATGAATTATAGCAATTTAGCACTTCTAACCGGGGGTGTGATTGGAGTAGGTATGCAGGAATCTACAGCTTCGTTATGTATGTACGCAACGCGATTATAAGTATGCTCATGCATATTGAATACTTTGCTAGCAGCTCACAGGTTTACTGGCTGCTTTTATGCGCCACGTCGTACACAGAAAAATATTTAAAACTATTCAATTGTATACACTTTCATCTTTATAGATATATTTTCTTTTGTTTAATTTTTCATTGGCATATTTTTTCTATATCTATGTTGCCTTCCGCTCCCCGAGGCAATCACACAGTTATATGCCACCATTTTGAATGCAATTCACAACACTCGTTTGAAAGGGTTAAGTTTTTTGTGTTGAAATTCATTGTATTCCTAATTATTTTATTGAAAACCGGCTCCGAAATTTAGCTTCTATAAGAAATTACTTAATTTGCACTAATTAATACGAAATATATTTGTTGTTTCTGTGTTTAACGCAAAATGTGCACCATTCGGAAGTGTAAAAAACAAACTAGAAACTTGACAGCTTTCGCTTCCGCTTCCTTTGCCTAATGAAACACTGCCCGACTACAGAACAGTTTTAAGGCTACATTTGAATTTGTATAATACGGCACAGTTTGAGGGGTATGCGTGATATGCAATTTCAATGGGACAATTTGGCTAGCAGTGTGTAGTAAGCGCAAAGCAAATTGATAAATGTCGATGGATTTTCACCGGTTTATTGTTGATTTTCTTGCCGTTTTGAATATTCTAACGTTTTAATCAGTTTTTAGTTTTTAAATCATTGCTTTGCTAATAACTGTGCTGCCTATTATTTATGCAATATAAATAAATTTTGCAAATTTTAATATATTAACGTTCGTGGCTTGGGTGTATGCATCAATGTGCTTTATTTTCTGTTTATATAATCTTTACTTTCGACTAATTAGTTAAACATTAAAACATTTAACTCGGGTTTTCTTTATGTTTCTCGCTTTTACCTTTTGGAACAGCTGTTAAATTACAAAGTTATACACGCATCATTTGAAGTTATTTATCTATGTATGTAAATATAAAAAAAAAACAGATTTCGAATACATACAATGTAGGTTAACTAAAAATATATATGTGTGTGTGTAAGTATACATTATAAAGAAAATAGTTTTTTAAAAAATATTAAATAATATCATTTTGTTGACGAGTGCGAGGCGCTGTTGAATTTATGTAATACTTGCTTCCTCGTCCTCCTTTTCTTGCTTACTTGACTGCAAGGAATCATCTTATTGCCGCTGCCAACTTTGGTCCTGTCGTTCTTTGTTCTTGCCTTTCATTAACCGGAGCTTTTGTTTTCATTAAGTTTTGTGTATTTAATTATTTTTTGTAAGTTGTCATGTTAGCATCTATTGTTACTACCACTACTACATATTGCTATTTTGGTTAGTCCATTTTGGTGTTTATTGTTTATTATTTAGTAAAAGCTTAATTATGAAAAGGTGAAAAAATTGTTACTGCTCTCCAACCATTTTCCGCTGTTATTCCGTATTGCTGCTCTGCGAACATACATACATATATAAGTTTTTTAAATCGTTAATGAATAAAAATAATTTTTTTTTGTATTTCAGTAGTTTAATTGGTTCTTCCAAACTTTTTTTCTTGAAGTTCACGCAATTATATTTTCGGTTTCTAAACATGATTAGCTGCATTTGCGAGTTCCAAGTAAGCAAATTGTTAGGAAGACAAAAAAAAAATAGAATTGCTTTAGTTTTCTTCATAAAAACGGGTTTTTTGCAATATTAAAAAAGAAAGTATATATGAATGAAATTGAGAAAATACAAGAAGGACGCCGACGCCATAAAAGGCAACTATTTCGAGAAATCAAGTGATACCACACTTTGTTGTCTTAAATATTTATGTATATATAAATTTTTATGACGAGGTTTCCATAACCTAAATTAAAAGTGTTAAAGTTTCCGGACAAACTAACAAATAGATACAAAAAATAATTAATTCAAAGTAAATTAATTAATTAAAAATAAATTAATTACAAATAATAGTTTCAATACAAAATTATAAAATATGCTAGTTATAAAATATTTACTTGACTAAAAATAGAAAAAATTAAAAAATAATTATTTTAATAAATAAATTAATTAAAAAAAAAACATTTAAAATTAATAATAATTAAAAAAAATAAACAAAACAATAAAAAAAATTAGTTTATTAAAAAAATAAGTTAATAACACTTAAAAATTAATTATTAAAAATTAATTTATCGTTGAAAAGTAATTGTAAAAAAGTTAACTCATTAAAAAATAAATTATTTAAAAAAATTAACTTAAAAATGAAATAAATGATATAAATTAGTTGATTAAAAAATATATAAATAAGTAAAATAGGAAATTTAAATAAAAGATACAAAAAATAAAACATAAAATTAAATCAATTAAAATAATTAATAAATAAATACGTGAATTGAATCAAAACCTTCAAAAAACTCTAAAATTAGTTAAAACAAATAAAAAAAACAATTAATTTAAGTAAATATAAAAAAATCATTAAAAAATTAATTGAAAAGCAAAATAAAAATTTAAAAAGAAAAAAATTAACTGATCAGAAAGTAAATACGTTAAAAAATAATTTATTTAAAAAATAAAAACAAAAACATTCATTCAAAAAAACTACTAAACTAAATATTAGTAAATTAGAAAATTTAAAATAATGAAATAAAAAATAAAAGCTAAAATAATAACGCAATAAAAAAATCAATTAAATGTTATTAATTAAATAATAAATTAAACTAAATGAGTAAAATTGCTTCCTTTTACAAATAATTAATTTAAAAAATTACTTAGTTAAAAAATATAGAAATAAAAAGAACCCTTTAAAAAACCAAATAATAAAAAAAAATAAACTGAAATTAAAGCTACAAAATAAATTCAATAAATGAAAAATACAAAAAATAATTAATATTGAAAAAAAAAATCTATTTAAAATTAAAAGGACACTTAATAATATTTATTAATTTAAAAATAAAATAAAACATTAAGAAAAAAATTAATCGATAATTTAATGTAATCAAGAAAAAAGTGAATTAAAAAAAATGCAAAATTTAAAATTAATAATCGAATAAAGTAATTAATAAATAAAATGAAAATAAAAAATCGCATTAAAAAATTTAACAAAAAAAAATAAAACAAAAAACTTAATTAAAAAAATGCATTTAAAAAATAAACTAAATTAAAAAAAATGTATTTTAAAATAAAAAACATTAAAAAAATTAATTACAAAATAAAAAAAATGTAAAAGAAAATAATTATTTAATAAAAAAAATCGAATTATAAAAACACGAATATTAAAAAATAAAAATAAAATCATTATAAAAAACTCAATTTATTTAAATTTAAAAAAAAATTAACTTATTTTAAAAGGATTAGTCAAATAAAAAAAATTAAATATATAATTAATTAAATAGGAAAATGAAATGAGCTATAAAACATAAATTACTAAAACACAAATTTAAAAAAAAATGCTTAAATAAAAAAAATTTTAATTAATAAAAAAATTTAAATAAATAAATAATTAAAAAAAATTATTTAAACAAATAAAAAAATATTTAAATAAACAAGAAAAAAATATTTAATTGACAAAATATATATTTAAATAAATAAGAAAAAATATTTAATTAAAAAAAAAAATATTTAAATATATAAGAAAAAAATATTTAAATTAATGAAGAGAATTTTAAATAAAGAAGAAAACAATATTTAAGTATATAAAAAAAATATTTACATAAATAACAAAATATTAAAAAAAATGAAAAATATTTTTAAATAACTAAAAAAAAATTTAAATAAATAAAAAATATTTAAACAAATAAAAAATATTAAGTTAGTTTAAGTAAGAAAAATTCATAAAAAATTATTAAATAAATTAAATAAAAAACAATTAAAAAAAAATAAAAAAACTTTAAAAATCTAAATTAATTAACCAAATAAGTAGATATAAAAAAATTTAAAAATGAATTCACAAATTAATTTAAAAGTAAATAAAAAATAATAATAAACGAATTGAAAAATAAATAATTTCATCAAAAAATAAATAAGAAAATGTAAATCGAAATAAAAGCTACAAACAATTAAAGTTATTAAAATTTTAACAAAAAAGCAACAAACTATTATATCTAATACTCCTACATCTATTTACGAAATAAAAAAACCAATATTTTTTTTGTTTTCGGCTTTTCCCCTTTTAATTTGGAAATATTTTTTTGTATATTTTTTATGTAAGTTTCTTTTTTTGTTTTCATTTTTACGTGCATTATTTATAAACATTTTTATTTACGCTAGGAAAGTAGTAATAATATTTATTATATTTTCGTATTCACTTTTAAAATTAACTTTCATTTTGTTTTATTTTTCGTTTTTTTATACAAGTAACTTATGAAACATTTTATTTTGATTGATTTCAAGCGTTAAAAGTGAATGTTAAGTTTGCGTTTTTTTTAACTAAAAACATTTAATTTGGTCGATGTGATTTTAAAAATAACAAAAACCCAATACAAAAAAAAAAACAATAAAGTAATAAAAAAGAGCGAAATGCTGGACACGTATAAATTACGGTAATTTGCATTAAAATTCGGCAGTTAAAAAACTTTACCAAATAACATTTCAATATTTTTTTTTTTTTTTTTTTTTAATAAATTTTAAAAATTAATAAAGTGCAAAAATACTTGACATTATTACTACTAATGCATTTATGAGTTTAAAACTAAATTAAAAAAGGAACAATTGGGCGTTTTCGACTTCAGTTGTTATGTATATGTATATATAATATGTATGACCTATGATTCAACGAATGCCATGAAAATGTATGTAAGTAATATCAGTGTTCAGAGAAAGAAAGAAAATGTTTTTTCTATACACAAACAACAATCTGTATTTTTTTTTTGTCACATTTTGCCAGCACACAGCCAAACACAAATCTCCGACATTACCGCTAAGCTAAACTTCAACGCCCTAACTACATACACGTATGTATAACCACGCATGCCTGGCGTCGTGTGCTTGATTTGTATGCATGCAGTATTCGTAAATAAACACTTTTCAGCTAAAGTAGAAGATAATGTATTTCTTTATTTTGCAATTTTTGTGTATTTTTTTCAATTTATTTTTAATATTTTTTATTTAATATTTTTTTTTCCATTGTTTTAAGCAGTGTTTTAGGTTAACTTTCTTACGCTTTATTTATATAACGCTGTATTATTTGCTTGGCGCTTTTTAAACTACAAATTAATATTTAAATAAATGTATTGTTTTTTTTTGATTTTTATAAATTAAATAATAAAAAAAAATGTATGTATGTATGCATTGATTTCTTTGTTTAAGAGAAATACATATGTTTGCATATATGTATGTATGTATATTATTATCGTTATATTATGATTTCTTTTTTAATAATAATATATGTAGGTATATATAAAAAAATATTTTTTTTTTTTAAATGAATCATTTGTGTTTAATTAATAATAGTAGATAATAATATAAAGTGTAAATAATAGCAATATAATATGTATGTATGTATGTAGTATGTATATTGAAGTGAGCGACATTTTCAAGTGGTTACAAGACATTGCACATACAAACTTTAATCGTTTTTATTTGCTTTTTTCTTATAAACAGGAAACTAGACATTTGTTTTTATTTGTTTTCAAATGTTTGCAGTTGTTGTTGTTATACAGCGTTTTGTTGCAATTGTGTGTGGGTATTTGTGGCGCAGAAAAGGGGGTTCATTTGTGCAGAAATTTATTTAATTCACGCGCCTTTTGCAGTTGGAAAAATTAATGATTTTTTCATTTCTGAAAAATTAATGAAATTTTTATTTCTGAAAAATTTCAAAATTACACATTTACAATTTTTTTTTTTATTAAAGAAAGAAGTAGAACTGCGTTTTTGAGCATTCAAAGCTCATTCGTTTACAAAAACTAACATATTTTTAATTTATAAAAAAAAGTATAAACGTTTTTTAAACATTCAAAACTGTTAGTTTTCAAAAAAAATTTTATTTTTACAAAAAAATTAGAAATGTTTTTTATAACTCCAAAACTGCTAGTTTAAAGAAAAATTATATATTTTAAATTTTTTTATTACGGAAAAATGTAGTATTTGTGTTGTTTTAACGTTCAAAACTACGAGTTTAAAATAAAATATCTCAATTTACAGCAACACTTTGCATATAAATTGTTATCCGTAAGAATTTTTAAGCGCCAAAAATGAAATTTTTAAGCAAACGGTACAAAAAATTGAAAAAAAGTAAAAAAAAATTAAAAACTGTAATATTTTTTAAATTTTTCCAAAAAATAATTTGCACAAGTTGAAACGTTTTTCCAAAGGTGCTCATGGTACAAGTTGAAAAAAAAAGTTCCTTGAAACTACCGAAAAAATTGGTATAGTTTTTATTTAATTTAATTTAATTTATTTGTTCTTGGCATTCGAAATTATAGAATTTCTTTAAAGGCGTTTTCAAACACAATTTCTTTAGGAACTATCAGCTATTTACCAGATAAAGATTCAAGAATTAGTATTTGCTGTACGAAATACAAATAGTTCTGAAACACATAGAACTTTGAGATAGAAATAGTTTGGAAATACTAAAAGTTTTGAATTACGTATAGTTTTGATATACTAAAAATAGATTTGCTATACAAATAGTTTTTATTATTTTTTTTTAGCACTTAAGAAATAAATTCATGCATAAAGCGTCTCTAACAAATGCGCAGCATAGCATGTTTGTTAATTAACAGCAATTTTTAGAAAAATAAAATATATTTCAAAAAATAAATTTTCCAAAAAAAAAAAATTGTTTTTTTTTTTCAAAACTTCACCCACATTCCTGATATGCTCACAAATAAATGAGCGCGCATTTCTCTGCACGTATCATTTGCGCCTGCCCCTTCACAACATATATATATATAGAGATATAGTATATCAATGCGTATCAAGTCCAGTTGTTTTACAATTTTTATTATACATTTATTAAATTTTCTTTTTTTTTTTTAAATTAATTATAAATATTTATTTATTTATTAAGATTCACATGAGTGTATGTGTATGTGTGAGAGTGTGTATGTTTCAAGTGTCCAAACAGTTGTTGTGACGGTAGACGTAAAACTGGTTATACATATACATTTGCATATTTGCATATATGTATATGTGTATGTAAATATAAATGCACTAATTATTTGTTTCTTTTCTAGACAGTGCAAAATAAATAACGTTCTTACGCTAACGCTAGTGCATAGGTGCGTGCGTACACTGCAAACGTTACAATAATAAGAAAATTAAATGAAAATTCGCATAGGTGAGCGCAATTTCCTATTTATGTATATACATATGTATGTATATGTTTTTTAAACTTTTTTGCAAAATATAGAATTTTTGAATTCCTTTCCATGTATAACTTTTTATCATATATTTTTTACATATTTATATATATGTATGTACGTATATAATAGAGCGTGCGTTGCAGCTTTTTTTGTAGTTGTAATTTTAATTGTGTACATAAATAAATTTGTTAGAAAAAAAAAAATTGTATAAAACAAGTTGCTAAGAAAAGATGCCAAAAATCTCAAGACAATTTTTTAATGAGCTGGCACGTTTCTTCTGCGTTTTTTTGACACAAATTTATTATTATAATTGTAACAAAAAAATTAAATATGCATTTTTTCCACTTCAATTCGATTTTTCAAAAGATTTCAACATTTTTTTTTTTTTTTTTTTAAATTTAAATTCTAAAATGCATTCTCTTATTCGAAAATTTCACAATTTTTACAACTACACACAGCTGCGCACGCTGTAAATAGAGTCTCGTAACAGTAAATTGGCCGTTAGCCAGTGAAATTAATTGCTGCCTAACAACTGCTGTCTTGTTCCTTTTTCCTGTTCAACATATTTCATGCTTTCCTAAACTTTTTTTTCATTTTTTATGCCTTACTTTCTCTTAGTCTCATACATATATTTTTTCTACTTTCATTAACGTTTTCTCTTTAACATACTTTTTTCCTGTTTTTTTTTATATTTTCATTTTTTTTTCATTTTTTCTCTTCTTTTAATCAGTTTTTCGTGCTCAACATACTTCCTTCATTTACTACTAACTGTTGGTTGTTTTCCGTATGTAGCATGCATACCACTTGAAAAATGTGCTCAACATTCATTATGTGTTTTCATTAGATTTTTAAATATATGTATGTATATTTTTTTAATATTATTATTTTAATTAATAATTTTTTTTTCTCATTTCTTGTTGTTTTTCACTTTCACCAAACATTGAAGCGGAGTTATATATTATGTTTTTTCTCGTTTTTTTTTTTGGAGGGGGGGTTATTAAGTTCATGTAATTGTTTACATTTTCTTATAACGCCTAAAACCATTGCGCATGCGCCGTGAAACGAAAGAGGCTGTCGCCAAATTTGCTTACACTCCACAAGTTGATCGTTAGCGTGCTGCAAACATATTAAATATGCTAAATTAACATTACTCTGCATCTTTTCAACGTTTTTCCTGCCAATTCGTTTGGTAAAAAAAAAAAACAAAAAAATCTTTCTTTTTATCGCCCTTTTCGTTTTCTAGGACGCCTACGACAATGCACAGCTGCGCGTGCATGTATGTGTGTAAACGATTTCCCGTTTTTATTTTTATATTTTTCACTATTTTTTGTTGCGCATGCGCGCGCGTATTTTTTTACTACTCAAACAATTATAATAATAATTACTTGTATATTTCTGTTCATATTTTTTTGTTTGTTTCTTTTTTTTTTCTTTCTTTCTCGCTCAATTTATTGCAAACTGCTGTTGTGGCGTTATTTTCTTACCATTTGTTTACATAATTAATATTTATTTCATATATTTTTTCTGCGCATATTTTTCTTGACGCTATGCTTCCTACGCATGTACTCTCGCCGTTCTCTTCTATTTATTATAAGAATTCTATAATTTCTTTTTAGTACGTATTGTAAACATTTTTTGTATATTTTGTATTTATTTATTTATTTATTTTTTTTTTTTTAATTTTTCTTCTTAGCTTGTTCTTACTGTCGTGTCGTGTCGTTTGTTTGTTGGTAGTTGTGTGTTTGTTGTGTGGTTGTGTTATCGTCGCTTGGCCTCACTCAATTACCTCGACTTCCACCGCCACCGGCATTGTTCGCATAGTAGGGTTTGTTCATTTGTCCACCACCACCACCACCACCGTTGGGGCCACCACCACCACCGGCTCCGCTATTATTTGGACCACCAGGGCCACCGTTGGGGCCGCCATTATTGTGACCGCCTGGGCCTTGGTTGGCTGGCACTACAACAACCACGTTGCCACCACTGCCTGGTGGTCCGCCGCCGCCGCCGCCACCACCACCGGGCGGCCCTTGTCGCATGTTATTTGGTCGTTGACCGGCTTGCGCTTGCTGTTGTTGCTGCTGCTGTTGTTGCTGTTGTTGTTGCTGCTGTTGAGACTGTGCGCCACCTTGCGGATGTTGGGGATAATTATTAGGTCGCTGTATGGGTGTTGGATAACGTCCTTGGCCACCCTGACCACTAACACCACCACCACCACCGGCGGGACCGCCTTGTACGCCTGGTGGACCACCGCCACCACGACTGCCGGGCGGCATATTCTGCATGTTACCACCGTTGCCTCCGCCCCCTCCAACAGCACCCATACCGCCGCCACCACGCTGTTGCACTCCTTGCTGCTGCTGCTGCTGCTGTGATTGGGATTGCTGTTGGGCTTGTTGCTGCATAACTTGATTCTGCAGGTCCCACTGGAAAGATAAAAGAAACTGATAAAAAAAAAAGTCAAGAGCTCATTGATTGGTGCATCACTTACGCTGCCATAGTTTTTATGGTGCGGTGGGCTGGGTTGTGATTGCACCTGCTTGGCCAGACTTAAGCTGACATCAGCACCCAGTGGACTTTTTAGCTGACGACCCATCTGTGCAAAAGAGAAATATTTTATATGGAAATGATTGCACTCGGTTTATAGAGAAGTTGGAATTTTTAAGAGTCACTTTCTCTCTAATTCCAAGGTTTTGGGCTTACCGAGTCTTGTAGATGACTTTGTCCTTGTCCGGATTTCATATAAGCCGCTGCAGCAGCTACCTGCTGCTGTGGCGTCGGTCCAGCACGAAATTGATTGATGCTCGCTGCAGTCAAGAGCGGCGAATTCATAAATGGCGTATTAAAATTGCCCATTGTGTGTTGTGATTGTGGACCGGGCGGGCCTTGTGGCCCATTCGAACCCGGCGGTCCACCTTGATGTCCCCCATACAGACCAGCCGCCGCTGCAGCTGCAGCTGCTAAGCCAAAGTTTTGCGCTCCGGCGCCTGCGCCTTGTGGTGGTGGACCACCATAAAATGCTGGTCCATTCGGTCCACTAGCCGAATTCGAGTAGTAGCTATTCGATTGCAATTGATGTGCGCCCGGCGGTCCAGGTGGTCCGCCTTGTGGATGTTGTGGCGGTGGACCGGGATACAGATTCATGTATTGTTGCGCTGCATATGGACCGCCACCGCCTGCACCCTTCGAGCCGATCGTGCCGAGTTGTTGCGATGAGGGTGGTGGTTTTACGGAACCCACCGATGACATCATCGAATTGGAATTAGAGGAAATTATCGCCACGGCTTGTGCATTCGGATTGCTTAGTTGTTGTGAATTGGGATTGCCGAAAGGCGATGGACCACCGCCCAAGCGAAACTGTGACGTTAAACTGGAATACATTTCGGGTGTGGGTGCCGCAGCCATATTGGGTGGCGTTTGCATGGTGTACGCGTTAAAGGGTCCACCCGCCGCTGCTGCTGCTGCTGCTGCGCTATAATGACCGGGGAAACTGTGCGCCGCAGTGGAGAATTGTGAACGGCTCGAATGATCAAGTGAATGGAATGGTGCGTAGAGGCCAGCCTGTGAGGGTGGTGGCGGTGCCATTTGCGACGAGTTGAACACAACCGTTGGCGGGCTGGGTATGCCGGTGAATTGTGGTGATGCTTGGTAGAAGGAAGGCGGTGCTGCGTGTAATTGTTGTTGTTGTGCTGCCGCGGATTGTTGATGTTGTGCTTGTTGCTGCTGCTGTTGTTGTTGCTGTTGCTGCTGTTGTTGCTGCTGCTGTAGATTGGGTGGTGGCGACATGCCCATCGATGAGCCATGATGCTGCTGCATTTGTTTGGCTGCAGCCGAAGCCTGCTGCTGCTGCTTGACAACATCTGGATGCTTTAGCACTTGCTGCTGTTGTTGGGCAGCGGCAGCAGATTGCGTCTGCTGTTGCTGTTGTGTCTGTTGTGGACTGGGATAGCCCACCACACTTGCCGGATCATCGGCGCCGCCCACCACAATGCTGCCGCTCTGTGCGAACTGCTCAAGTGGTGTGGAGACGTCGAAGGGTGAGCCATGGCCGCCATAACCGCTGGGCACCGGACCGGGCGAGGAGAGCGAGTGGTGTTGGTGTTGATGCTGATGCAAGGGTACAGCTGTCACTGCATAGTGTGGCATATGCTGTTGTTGGTGTTGTTGCTGAGATGCGGCTACTGCTGCTACAAAGGAGGCGGCCGCCGACATATGTACGCTGGGATCCACCACCTCCATTTGCTGTTGGGCTTGCTGCTGCTGCTGCTGTTGCTGTTGTTGCTGCTGCTGTTGTTGTTGGTGCTGCAACTGTTGTTGGGCTTGCTGTTGTGCCTGCTGCTGCTGTTGGTGTACTACCTGCTGGTGTTGCAACGCCGACGAACTCGCCTCGGTCGTCATTGGCGCTACGCTCTCCCAGACCTTCTTTACGCTAGCGATTTTCATATTCAAATCTGCAGTGGAAATTATATTTTGCGCCTGTTGTTGTTGCTGCTGCTGATGTTGCCCTACAGCGGCCTGTTGTGCCGCCACAACTTTCGACTCGTTGTCACCCGTCGGTTTATTGCTTACCGAAGTGGCGTACGACTCAGTGGCATCGCCAAATGTGAAGCCCAACTTCATATCCTTCTCATAGTCGGATGCAGCGTTTGGCAACACGCCGCCAACGGTCACAGGAACATCCGCTCCCTTGGTGAATGACATCTGTGACAGCGCTGTGCTCAGCGTTTCAACTGCGGAAACACTCACTCCACTACTGACGGCCGACGTCAGAGATTCGGAGGATCGCTTCATCTGTGCTGCCTGTGCCTGCTGCTTATAGTTCGTGTTCTCGAAAATGATAGTATTGACTGGTGCGCCATCTAGTAGTAACTGACTAGCGCCACTAACGACCGTTGTATTCGGCTTTTCATTGGCGCCGATGCTCAGCTTCACCTTGTCCACCTCACTGATCGAGGCGCGGTGCTGTGTGGTTGGCTGTTGGCGACCTAGATTCGTTGTAACGGAGTTTGTGTCCGATTTACTCTTCTGCAGCTCGACATTTTGCTTTTGTTGTTGCTGTTGTTGTGGCGCAACACTCTGATTAGGCAACGATGCATTGTTTACAGGTTTGAAATTGCCGCTGGTGTTGACGCCACCCAGACCGGGTGGTGGTTTCGTCACTGTTTGCTGCTGTGGTTGTTGGTTGGGTTTGTTGGTGCCAATGGCGGTTGCCGATTGCGAGGTTGGCAGTGAGGCCATTGGCAAATCTTGTTTCTTAGCACCGACACTGGAGTTACTGCGTTGCGCTGCCGACAATTGGCCGGAGCTAGTGCTGCGCTGTTGCTGTGGCTGTTGCACGACACCGCTGGGCAAGTCCTTTTCCTTGGAAGCAGACTTACGTTCACGTTCAGAGACGTCGTCGGTTTTAGTACTCGATGTACTTTCCTTGCGTGCTTGTGTGCTGCCACCAGCACTGTTGCCACTAAATGGCTTGGGTATAGGCGTTGGCGTAGAACCTTTTTTATCCGATTCGCCAATAGCACCGACTTTCTTAGTTGGCGGTGCATTTGCTGCACCTTGCGCTGGTGTCTGTTGCTTGTTAACGGTTTGTGTACGCGTCTTGTCGTCAGCAGACGTTGCTGTAGCTGCATTGGGGTCTTTCACTTTGGAGAGCCCTGCGCTAAGCGCTAACTGATTTTGTTTCGTTTTATCCACATCACTGCCACCGCCAGTCTGTTCCGACTCCGAGCTGCGTTTGTGATCCTTGTGGTGATCGTCATAGGGTTGTCGACCATAATGGCGTCCCTGACCTCGTCCACCACCACCCCCACCGTCATTGCGTCGATACGACGACGAGGATCCACGATCTCCGCGATCTCCGCGGTCTCCACGATCACCGCGATCACCTATATTTGCGCCACCCCCTCGTCCGCGCCGTGACGGTTCACCACGTGGAGCGAAACCTTCCTTCGAGCTACGTTCCTCTCCACTACTGCGATGACCACCGCCGCCACCAACATGGTCCTTACGTGGCCCTTTCGAACTTTGACGATCGCCACGACGTCCGCCATACGCTTCTTCGTCAACATCCTCTGAGTGTTCCGATTCACTGGGCAGTCTTGGTTCGTTGGAGCCATAATAGCGTCCACCGCGCATACCGCGTGGATTCCAGTCACGTACACCGCGAGAGCTGGGGAAACCGCGTGAATGTGAGCCGCGCTCTCGATCTCTGTCACGATCACGATCACGATCACCGACACGATCACGACCTGCACCACCACCGCTACTACCACCGCGGGAACTGGGTCTTTTCTGCTCGCGTTGTGGCAGACTTCCTGTTGCTGTTGCTGCTGTCGATCGGCTTTCTTCCGTCAGCTGCTTGCTGTCATCGGTTGAGACGGAATCCTTTCGTACCCCCGTAATGACTGGAGCTGCTGAGTTGCTGCTTTCACTTTCTTTATGTTTCTTATGCTGAAGTTCGGCGTCCGTCATTGGCTTAACGCTTGAAGCACTCTTCTCCTCAGAAATTTTACTAGATGCGATCTGATCGGCATTACTTGATTGTTGCGTTGGCTTCGGCTTTTCATCGCTTGACGACTCGGAACGACGTAGAATTTGTGTTGGCGCGAAATGCGATGTTTGCTCACTTTCGCTGCGGCGAAGTGGCAGTTGCTGGTGTTGTTGAGACTGTTGATACTGTTGTTGTTGTTGAGATTGTAATTGTTGTTGCTGCTGCTGTTGGGGCGAAGTCTCCTCTTCAGATACACTCTTCTGAGTGTGCGGACGTTGTAGTATCTTAATGGGTAGTGACTCCTGACTGTGCGCCGAAGAGAAGCTCTCCTCACGTTGGCGCTTCATCTCGGCATCCGTCTCCTCAGCCCAAGATGACACAAGTGCGTTACTACCAAACTCCTTGGAATCATTCAAACTATTGCCTCCGCCATATTTGCACGAATCATCGTTGGATGAAACGCTAGTCTTGCGTTGCGAAGTATCTGAGATGCTACGTGATAATTGGTTCTGCGATAAGCCATTACCACGCATGTAATCGTCACCGACACCACGTCCACCGCGCCCACCATGATAGCGCGGTTCATCATCACGTTCACTGTCATTTCGTATACGCCCATAGCCGCCGCCGCGCGTATAATTGTCACGATAATCACCACGACCGCCTCGTTGCATCGGTCCTCCAACGCCGGCTCCGCTCTTCTGTATATAACGTCCACCTCCGCCAACGTCATAAGCAGAGCCTGAGGATGCCGACTTCTCCAAGGGCCCTCCCAACGAACCGGGCGCTTTACCACTACCACTTAATCCACCGCCGCTGCCACTTATGGGTCCTAACTGCGCTTGCATCTGCTGCTGCTTCTGGAAACGTGGCGGCAAGTTCGATTGGAATTGTGCAGAGAATATTGGTTTGCCGCCAGCACCAATGGCTTGCGGTCCAACGCCGCCGCCTAGTGTGCGGTCACCACGTTCACCACGCAAATAGTCGCCTCCACCGCGCACGTCACGTACCTCATAGCTTCCCCCACCCAAGCGTGTGTTGCCGCGGTCGAAGTCCCTGTTAACGCCGCTACGTCGAATATTCACTTCTTCATCACTCGCAGCACCAACTGAGGGTGGAGGAGTGGTAAGTTCCACAGCATCACCGCCACCGGATGGTATTACTGCATTGTTACCGGCCGCTGCTGCGCTCGCCGCCTTTTTATTGTAGATCTTCATTTCGAGTTCTTGTAGTTTACGTGCGGCTGCCTCACGACGTTCCTTCTCGCGCCGTTCCTCTTCTTCTTTGCGCTGCTTCACACGTTCATAAACGGCTGCATCGAGGGCAATACTGCCAGCGGCAATAGTACGATGACCATTCTGCTGACGAGTATCCTCGCGTTCGGCTGATTTATCGCGTTCGACGCTCTCACGTTGCTCCTTCACGCTGCCGCTGCGTTGCCAGCTGTTATTCAAACTGCTAGCGTTGGAGCTCTTGCGTTGATCGTGAGAACCACCGCTAATGCTGCCACTGCCGCCCGATTTATTGAATACTGGTCGATCTCGGTCCTGTGTTGGTATATGCTCTTCAGGCGATTCATCATCTGAGAATGTCAGCTTTTTAGTGTAGTCAATGTCATCTTGCTTCGTCCAACTGTCGTCGTTAGCTATAGCATTTAAACGCTCCAGATCTTCCTCTCGTATAATGGGTCGTTGCATCTGCACCACTTCGGGTTCAATAATAAATTCCTTATCCTTGCGACCGGCACCACCGTTCGGTGTTTGTGTGCCACCTAGCGGTGGTGTAGTCATTTGTGGTGGTCTCTTGGGTATAGCAGCCGCAGTGCGGAAATTGCTAATAGCTGGCGAGCCGGAACGATAGTCCTGAGTGCCGCCACCGCCACCATTGCCACTTCCTGAGCGCTGCTGTGGACGCGAGCCAACACCACTACTGCCGCCGCCGCCGCCGCCACCGGTGTCCTTACCGCCTCCAATGCCGTTCTGATAGTTTGTTGGTGTTTGAGAGCGTGGCCCGTTGCTGCCACCGACACTGGCACCGCTGCCAGTTGCTGGCAATGGTGCGCCGCGTTGCATAAACGATGGCATTAGCTGCAGTATGGGCAACGGTACTGCTGCATTTGAATTTTGGGACTGGTGGCCCTGGCCCTGTTGGTTGGACTGTCCGTCCGTTGTGCCCTTGCCGGGTTTTTCTTGCTGTTGCAACCAGGCGGCAGCATCGGTTTGTGGACGCAGGCTTACTTCGTTTACTTCGCGTTGTTGCTGTTGTTGATCGGGATGCGAATGATGACGATGGTGGTGTTGTTGTTGCTGCTGCTGCTGATGGTAAGAGTAATCGCTGCCACCGTCGCCGTCGTTGCCATCTTTGTAATTGTGCGCATCGTAACGCTGATCGTTTGCATGACGGCCACCGCTTCCATGTTGTTGCTGGTTGTTGTAGTCGCGGTGTTGGTGTGAATGATGATTCTGTTGTTGTTGTTGTTGCTGCTGATGATGATGGTAATGATGATTCTGCTGTTGCTGATGGTGATGATAATGACGTTGGTGTTCTTGTTGTTGGTTCGAATGTTGATGATGGTGTTGTTGGTGTTGGTGTTGGTGCTGCTGGTGATGATACTGCTCCTGTTGCTGTTGCTGTTGCTGCTGCTGTTGTTGTTTGTTTCGGTTCGATGCATTGCCGCCGCCGCCGCTGCCACCACCACCACCACCGCCGCCGCCGCCAACTGTGCCATCCAACGTTGGAAATTCGTATTGAAACTGTGGACTCTGATAGAGGGGCGGCACTGACGATTTGCCCCCGCTCCCGCCACCACCACTGCCCTTGCCACTGCCGCCGCCGCCACTGGTCATGTCGTTGCCCGTTGTCACCGCCGACCATGTTACTGGCGAGTTTCGTTGCTGATGCTGTTGTTGTTGGTGTTGTTGAACGACGTGATTCGTTATAGAAGAATTACGCAACTGTTGACCGCCACCGCTGCTGCCACTTGTCGAATTGTTAACAAGCTTTACACCGCCGACACCGATACTATTACTAATGCTATTGCTGTTGTTGCTATTTTTGTTGTTATTGTTGACGTTATTACTATTACCAAGTGCGGACTTGATGTTGTTGCTGCTGCTGCTGCTGCTGCTGCTGTTTTTGCTGTTACTGTTGTTGCTAGTGTTCTTCAATTGATGATGTTGTTGTTGCTGTTGTTGATTGATATTTCCTACGCCTCCAGTAGGTGTATGTTGTGTTGTTATTTGACCGCCGCTTGTGGTATTGACTGCAAAGTGTTAAAGGTGTTGGTGCAAAATACATACATGGTTGCATGAATTAAAGCAAGTTTTTTATATGTAAAAGGTTTCCGGTAAAGGTATCTATGTATACATATACGCAGGGGGGTTTTATTTTATAAAAGAGGGAAAGAAACCATGTTGAAGACAACAGCTTAATTGTTTTGAGCGCTGCTGAGGGCTTTATATATCATGGCCAGAGATAAGGTTAGTACTAATTGAGACGACCTTCTTGTAAGGAGTAAATTTATAATAAAGTTGCAATGGAACAACTTATATTTCAAAGCGATCAATTGTGTAGAAACTGATTTTACACGACCAAGAGCTTTCTCTTCTCGCCGCGCTTGAGAGAAATATTTATAGTTTTGATTTCGAAATGAATTTTATGGCTGTGTCACTGTGATCATAACCTCATAATTACCTTATGTGTGAATTACACAATATTTACTTGTTATATGGTTATAACGTTTACAATTAGTTACAGCTTCACACAGCTTTGGGGGAGGAAAAACTATGTGTGAGTGTCAATAAAACCACCTACCTTCTTGTCCGATAGATGTTATTAGATTGTTATTCGTATTAGGCGAATTTGTTATTTCAGCTTTCAGGGATGGTAAATTAGCTGGTGGACGCCTTGCGGACGGCACTTTGCCCAAACTTTGCATTCCATGTTTACGTGGCACTTGACTCTTTTGTGCAGATGGTTCAGCTGGTTCACCCTACATGGAGAGAAAATTTGTGAACAGTTTTTTATAAAAAAAAAAACTTATAAAAAATTAAAAAATAAAATATTTAAAAAAATTATATGAAAAATAAAAATATATATATATATAAAATTAAAAAAAAATTAAAAAAAATTAAAAAAAATATATATAAAAAAATTTAAAAAAAAATATATATAAAAAATTAAAAAAAAAATATATACAAAAAATTAAAAAAAAAAAATATATATAAAAAATTGAAAAAAAATATATATATAAAAATTTGAAAAAATATTTAAAAAGAAAATTTAATTATAAATATTAATATTATATAAAAAAATTTATAAAAAAAATTAAAAAAAAAAATAGACAAATAATTACAAGAATAAATAAATGATTAAATAATATTTATATTGTAAGAACAAATAAATAATAAAAATAAATAAATTAAGAAAAATAAACAAAAGAATAAATAAATAAAAGTAGATATTAAAAAAAAAAAAACAATTAAAAAAATAAATACAAACAAATAAAAAATATATACAATAAATAAAAAAATATCTAAAATAAATAAAAACACATTTAAAATAAATAAAAAAAACATCACAAAAAGTATTATAAAAATAGAAAATAAAAATTAAAAAATAAGAGAAAAATATTAAATTAAAAACATAAATTAAAAAACATGAACAAATAAATAAAAACCTAAAAAAATAATGAAAACCATAAAAAAAGAAGATTAAGAAAAATAAAAAATAAGTAAAAAACATAAAAAATAAATAAAAAACATAAAAAATTAAATAAGAAACTTAAAAGAAAAAAATAACATCATAAAAAAATAAATAAATAACTTAAAAAAATTAATAAAAAAAATTTAAAAAAATAAATAAAAAAACCTAAAAAAATATATTTAAAAAACATAAAAAATAAATAAAAAACATAAAAAAGTAAAAATTAATTAATAAATAAATTAATAAGTAAAAAAATAAAAAAAACCAGAAAAATAAAAATTAAAATAAATAAATAAATGAATAATTAGAAATGAATATATAAATTAAAGCATTATAAAAACTTAAAAATACAAATTAATAAATGAATACGGATAATACAAAAAAAAAAATAACAATTAAAATTCAAAAATAAAGTATATAAAAACCAAAGAAAAAATTAATAATTTAATTTGAAAAATAAAAACTTAATTTAATTTGAAAAATAAAAATTTTATAATAATAAAAATTATATAATAATAATATTAAGTAAAAAAATAAAGATATTAAAAAATAAATTAAAATAAATAATTGAAAACATAGAAATTAAGAAAAAAATTAATATATAAATAAGGAAATTACGAAAAAAAATAAAAAATAAGAACAAAATAAATTAATTAAATAGAAATGTATAAAAAAACAAAGAAACAAAAAAATTAAGTAAAATGTATAAATTAATAATATAAAATGAATACACAAATTAAAAATATCAATAATAATTGAAAAAAAAAAAATTTTAAATAAAGAAGAAAAAGGGCAATCACAAAAAAATATACATAAATTTAAAATATAAACCTAAATTAAAAATAAATTAAAAAAATTAAAAATAAATAAAAATGATGAAATAAGTAAATTATCTAAAATAAATGAAGAAATAAAAAATAACAAAAAAAAAAATAACTAATAATAATAAAAATTAGAAAATAAATAATCTAAAGTAAAAAAGAAATTAATAAAAATAAATAAATTATTAAAAAAAATTTAAAAAAATAAATTAATAAAAAAAATTTAAAAAAATAAATAAAATATTAAAAAAAATTAAAAAAAAAAAATTAAAAATTAATTAAAAACTAAAGAGAAATTAAAAAAAAATTAAGAGAAATTTAAAAAAAATTAAAAATAAATTGACAACAAAATAAATGATATAAAGTAAAAAAATTTAAAAAATTAAAAATAATAACGCCTAACTTACGCGACTATTTATGTACATTCGATTTATATCGAGTGCTGAGAACTTGGGCTTGGCATTTCGCTCTCCCCTACTTCCCCCCAGTGTACTCATGCTGCCAGTAGATCCTCATTAGCGTTACCTCCCCCTTGCGCCGCACTCACTTCACCACTACTAGTATTGCTCCTGCTTGAATTGCAGCGATTTGAATTTATTTACTTTTACGGTTGTTGGTTGTGTAAACTCTGCTCTTTTTCGCAAGCAGTGCAAAAATTTCAACGAATTTTTTCTTTCTTTATTTTTGCTGTTTTGTTTCTATGTGCTCGGCTTTATGAACTTATTAGCCGGTGTTTTAGTCTATGACTTTCGTATTTATGTATATATATATATATATATTTTTCCGTAGTTTTGCACAAAATTTTCACGTTTCCACTATTCTCCTATTGTTGTTACACTTTTTATTTTTCCTCCTCTTTGCTGCTACGAAAAGTGACTTCGAATGATTGCCAGTAAGCACAATTTATTTTTTCAAAGCTTCTTTTCTTTCAAATTATGCGTTCGATAAACAATATTTACTCAAATTTCTTCTACTCCGTTTAGTTGTTCTAATACTCGTATTGGTTTTATTTTTGTAATTTTTATTTATTTATATTTGTTTACGCCGGATATATGCTTATGCATTTGTGTTGATAGATAGAACTTGATAGTGTAGTCAGCGCTCGGTCACTTTTGACTTCAAAACGAGCCAAATTAAAGAATCTTATATAGCTCACACCGGGTATCAGTGAATTTCTTGAGAATATTTCGAGAGAACACAAAGTTTGCTTTTAGAAATATATATGTAAGTGTGTATGAGCAGCAGTTTGGGTTTCCTCTAGTTACTAGCTTGCAAATTGTTGTAATTGCTAATCCGTAGGCTTTTTTTTCTTCCTTTGTTTTATACTTCACAACGAGTGGTGGTAATACACTTGTTACGACGGCAAACCGCTGTTTTCGGCTTACTAAAACTTTTGCTACTGTTGTCTTCCGCGTCGTTTTGAAATTAGTTTAAGTTCTATTGTATGTGACAGTTAAATAAAAGTGGCTGCTGCTGGCCTCACAATTAGTGGTTAGCCTTTTATGTTTGCCTCGCGTAAAAGGTGTATTCTCTTAGCACTGTTTATAACTAAATCCTCAGTCTTCTATGAATTCTGGAAAGCGTAAAAGAAGAGAAATTTTAGTAAAATGTTGTAAATGATATTAAAAGAATTCTAGAAAATCAGCAGTCGAGGAAAGACATTTCGACAAGTCAATGGGTAGATATTGGCCATAAACACTATATTTATATGTAAGTAATAGATAATTATTTCAAAAGAGTGCTCAACGATCGATGTATGCCTAAAAGCATATATGTCTTAAAAGTTGTTTTTTGAATTTTTGTAAAACAAAAATTCACTGCCAAGAAAGTGAAAGTGTGATGCAATATTTTCCACATTAATAAAACCATATACACATTTGTTTTATTTTTCACAAATAAGATATTGACATTCGCCGGTCATTGAACCACACAAGAGATGGAAATGCCTGCATACATACATATGTATCTACTTAAAGCAAAAATTGAAAACATTTCAGAATTTTAATATTTCTTGTTTTATATTTTACAGATTGTATATATTTCTATCATATTTTTTTTTTTTGTTTCATTGTACCCCCATTAAAATTAAAATTTTTTTAAAAGCTAACAAATTGGGGGTGTAGAGAAAAATGCGTTATGCACCGCATCGAACATTACATTCGGAAGTCATTGAATAGGTACACAAAAGGATAGGGAAAGGAAGAAAAACCATATGAACCATGGGATAAACCGTTCGCACATACTCTAAGCCAACTACTACTACAACTACTGACCGCTGTTCATCACAAAAATGTCTGCTGTAGAGTAATATAGCCAACACGTCAACAACTAGCCCACTGATCGTACATAAATTAGTACAATAAATGAAAATTCAATGGCATTGGCCGTGAATACATATACACACCCATAGCAGAGTGCGCTGCACCAACCGGAGCCTAAAAATTCAAAGGGATATGTATAGTATAGGTTGTACAAAGTGGGCTGGATTCCAGTACGGAAAAATTGGGTAAAATATTAATTACACTTGTTATTTATATTTAACCAGGGTGAATGAGGGTTAAGGAAGTAGAGAACTCAAATTAAAATCAGTATATTACAAATATATATGTAATATAAACAAGGTTAATAACACTTTTTACGACTGCAATACGCATAAAGCAATATAACGAACTGTGTAGACAGTAAAATTAGGAAAAACACAATAAAAGAATGTTAACAATAACAAATATGTTGGAATAAATTCGTTTAATTTTTTGCACAACTTTGATTCTACCGATTTTACATTAAAAATAAATATTTTGCACTTAATTTATTAAACAAAATTACTTTCAATTGGTAATGTAAAACAATATTTAATGAAAAAAAAAGTAATACCCTTTTGATTGCAGGTGCGAGCGAGACAAATAGAGAACTAAATTGGTTCAATATGCTTTGACAGCTAACGTAACGAGTGGAAAGTGTATAAAAGATTAAACTAACGAATAATGCACTCGATGTCAAGTTTATCCAAATGCATTCATTCATATATCCAATAAGCAATAATTTAAATATTAAACAAAACCTTAAAGAAAAGTTAAAATAAAATAGATTGCGTTATTAAACTTTCAACACTTTCACACAAAACATTTAGATTTACCAAACCTTTAGGCAATGACCACCATTAGGCAGATAAATTATGAAAATTTAAAATAAAAGAAAAAAATCGTTGCAAATACAAGTGTAAAGAAAAACATGAAAAGAAGCAAATATGCATATACATATGTATATATGAATTCTAGCAAACAAAGAAGTTCTAGCGCATACAACAAAAAAAGTTGAATTAACCTAACGAAAGAATGTGCTAGCGTCTTCAACAAATATTGTAAAAAAAAGACTATCGATACTCGATTAGGCCAAAGGTTTGAAGACAGACATATCTACATACATAAGTATATATGCAAAATGATTATTTAAATTTGTATATATTTTTTATATGCAATTAAACACGTAATTAATAATCTTGTTCGCTAGGATTACATTAACAGAGATTATTAAATATATATACAAGGAAAAATTTAAAATTTTACTTATTCGCATGTGAAGACATTATTTTGAATAAAGCACACCTATCTCGCTTGTAGTAGTATTAAATGGACCCCCACTACACACCCCAGTGCCTCCTAATACCATTCATAGTGTGGAAGATCATATATTGCAGTGCTATTCACTTTTGTGATGTTTCCAATTGTTTTTCATAAAAATTTCTACCTTTTGTATGCCTTCTCCGCGACACTATTCAACTTCGGCGTTTTCTATCGACACTTATTCAATATTTCTACTATATCGATGTTGTATCGCCGCTACGTTTGGTTTCGTTATTTCGCTTTTTTTTCCTCTTTACTTTTGTTGGCGGAGCTCCCACCACACTATACCAAGAATTGAGATTTTTTCTGCTTCTTCTTTTTGCTGCCTTTTTTTCTGTATTTGAAGAAACTTTTCTAGCGAAAATTTTCAAAAGATTCTCACGTAATCTATACGTCACTATACACACGCACACAAATGAATAAATTAATGAATTGCTTATTAATGCAATTTTTCACACAATTTTCAACGTAATTAGATTGATTTTTTTTCTGTTTTCTTGCAGTAGAAATTTTGTGATTCCGACACGAAATTTTTTTCCGTTTCACACTCGTTTGTCGTCTTTCTGCAACTACTTTTCAGCTTCGTTTGCTCGTTGAATCGTTTTGTCACTACCGCTGCATTTGCCGTTCTAGTCGTTGCTTTGTAAAACTCGCAGATAGTCTGACAAAAAAAATCTTTTTATATAGTTGGCTTTGTCGGAGATTCTTCTATTGCTATCTCTTGAAAACGAAATAAAACCTAGACAAAAAAAAAGCATCTACAATTGCGTGTTCGCTTCAACAAACAGCTCAGCACCAGAGCTAAACAAATGCGTGGGAGCGAATAAACTGTTAAAACTAAGAAAATGAAATGTGTATATTATGTACGTGATGTGTCAAAGTGGAATTTTGCAAATTAGATAGCATTGCCATGTAATACAATTGACCAGAAATTTTATGTGGATAAATATTGTATTGTATTGATAAATCCGAAGATCTATAAATCACTTCATATCGCAGAAAATGTTTGTTTTGTTATTAAGCGTTGAAATAAACTAGCACTAATATTTATTTGCTTAGCTTTTAAATAACACTACCTTCCATTAAAAGCACACCTGAAGTTGGCAACATTCTTGAATTTCAATATAGTTGAATGATCTTTACACTTATAATGTGCAACTCATTGCCTGTTTCACTATAATGTGCAACCGAAACGAATTACACAAAAATTGTATGTGCACATACCTTTGTAACTACACTCCCGTGAAATTGTTTAAAATTTAATTCAAAATATTACTAACTAAATAAACAGTTTTACAGAAAAACCCGCAAATATTTTACTCTTGCCGGTTCTTTCAATGCATTCGCACAAAACAAGAGATATCAACCTCGCATAAAAACAAAAAAAAAAAAAATTCACATACGCCAACAATACACATATTGCTTACCCTTTCTCTCGACGCTTGCACGCGAGTTCGTTGCTCTCCTACACACAATTCACACCCGCCGTACAAACTCGTTGCACCTTTCGCACTCACACATAAACGAGTGCACGCACTTCTTATAATACTATATGTTGTATGCTCCGTTGGTGTGCGGCTACGATGCTCTGATGCTCTATGCAAGCGTGTTGTGTAAAAAAATTCCTTTTTTTTTGAGCTGCAAAAAACTCACTAGATTACTAGATAAATTCAAGTTGTTGTCTCCTTTACGCACGCCTTGTCTTCGTAAACGTTTTCTGCTCGCGGCGTCTGCCAGTGAAATCGTCTACTCTTTCGTTTCGTACTTTTATTTTTTTTTATTTTCTTACTAGCTGCCTGCTCCAATTCTACTTCCCTTCTTATTTTATTTCCTTCTATTCTTTGCGGCACCTTCTCTTTGCAATTATATGCCTATATGCATAGATGAATGTGTGTATTAAAAACACAGAAGGGGCGTTGGTGGGTATGAAGGGTTTGAACTGGACCGAAGAGGAAGCAGAATCCAATGAGAAAAACTTTTTTTCTTTCGGCTTGATTGAATATTTTATTGCAACTTTTATACGCTACGTTAACTTTGCATGTACACAAAAACTATTTGAGAACGTAGCTTCTATATTAAACTGTGACTTGCACACGTTTTTGCGTTGTTTAGATAATTATTTAATAGCGTTTTTCCGTCTACCGTCACAAACAGGATAGAACACTTTCTTGCGGGTTGTCACAATTACTTAAAATGGCGTGTGGCCTGTTTGCAACTCTGATTTGCTCTCTCGAATTAGAATACGGCGCCGATGAAAATTATAACGCCGTGTTGGGTATGTTCAGTGTGTGGCATTAATAGTTAGATTTAAGGATTGGATTGTATATTCTTTTTTCTAACTTTAACTAACTAACTGCTTTATGAATTTCTAAATCAATAATAAAAGCATTTGTTATCCGACTTGTTAATGGTGAGTTACGTTCTTTGGCTTAAGTAACACAACTTATTATATCGATTCTTTCAACGTATTTATCGATTTGCATAAATTAAAATGTGTCCGTGCTAACTGAAATTTCAACATAACGGTTGGTAATAAATTTGAGAAGTTCGAAATTTTAGTTTCCGTAGTCGAGCAGGATATTTTTAGCGCGTTGTGGCTCATTTCCTGTAAACAGCTTATTTTGCAAACGCTAGAATTTGCTTATGAAATTTCATAATATTGAATACGTGAATATGAGATTATTTTTTAAACTAGAGCGTGAAAATAGAATTTGCTGATTCTAGAAAATTATGAATAATATTCTTTTTTTTTTGCTTCAAATTAAACATGGAGAAACGTGAATTGGTTTGGGATCTGGATAAAACAATAAAATTAATTAAGAAAGTCGAAGAACAACGATTGTTATGGGACACGCATAAAATTGATTTTCAAAATATTGTAAAGAAAAGGCGTGAAAAGATGAATTCAAAGTTTTCGCTGATCTGCGTGTACAACGTGATATCGATAATACACTTTGTGAGACTATACTCAGGAATGTGGTGCCGAAAAGTAGCTCTCTAGTCGAGATTCCAGCTGCCAGCAATGGTAAATATAAAATGTCTACTGGTCCTGGCTCATTTATCTCCAATATCCTAAGGAGTAAAAGTGCTGAATCATTACGAAATTATTTTATGCATAAAAAGAACAAAAAGGTAAAGGTTAAGAATTTAAATGAAACACGCTTTTTTTTACCGAAAACGAAAGATTTAGATGTAAAAAATATTCTGTTTTAAAACGTTCTCATGAAGTGAGATAATCTGGATAAAGTAAATCCGTTGCCACAAAAATCATTTCCGGCTTCGCATGTTCTATTTCAATAGGAATTTTTAGCGTTTCACCGAATCAGCTGTGTAGGAAAAAGAACGTGTTGTTCTTTAATACAAAATTATATTTTGAAATTTCAGTTTACATTTGAGTTATCAGTGCAATGAAACCACTATTCTTTTATTTCTTTGTAATTATTTTATTTTTTCCTTGTGTACATATTTATTTACTTTTCTGAACATTAACTTCTACTCTATATGCCAATGTTTAATACTTTTGCGATTAACAACTAACCTAAGTTTATGTGGTATACACTAACTTTTTTATTGGTTCATCAGATTTTAAGGTTATTTTTTAATTTTTAATTTTTTTCGTAATATAAACTATATTAAAATAACATACATATATATATAGTATATTTAATGTACTAATTGGTAGTAAATAGCTTATTATGTATAAAACCAATTTCTATTTCCTTATATGAATTAATAAATATATATATAATATTGTATATATGTATAGTATAAATACATATTCATTTTCCAACTATAATAGAATAAGTATTTTTTAATATTTTTTTATTAAAATTTGTTATGACAAAAATTGATCACAATAATTGGTGTACATTACAATGGTGAGGAGAGCATATAAGGCTGGATAATTCAAATGAGAGGGAAAATGAAGTTTTCATAGCGTAGCAAGGCGAATTTATTTTGGATGAAAGAATGTAAAAAATCAAAAATATTAAATAAAAATTAGAATAAAAAAAATAAAAAAGATGGAATTAAAAAATAGAACATAGAATTGAAATAAACAAAAAAAATAAACAAAAAAAAATAAACAAAAAAAAATTAACAAAAAAAATTAACAAAAAAAAAAAAAATAAACAGAACAAAAACAGTNAAAATAGAACATAGAATTGAAATAAACAAAAAAAATAAAAAAAAAAAAATAAAAAAAAAAAAAATGAAAAAAACCAAAAAAAAAAAAACAAAAATCAAAACGAAACATCAAAAAAAAAAAACAAAAATCAAAACGAAACATCAAAAAAAAAAAAACAGAAATCAAAACGAAACATCAAGAAAACATAAAAAACAATCGGTATTATTGGAATTTTCAGGTGAAAAAATTCGTTTGGAAATTTTGATAGAGAATAAAAACAAAATATCGAAATTAATTTTTTTTTTACGTTAAAAATGTTGAAACGAACTTTTTTTCACAGAAAATTCTTAGAAAGACCGTATATATGAATAAAAAGTAACCAAAAAAATAAAAAACGCATAAAAGAAAAAAAAAACAGAAAAAAACAATATTTAGGCATAAGAAAGAGCAAAACAAAAGAAAATGAACGTTATAAGGAAAAGAAAAATAAAATAAAAAATAAAAAAACAAAACAAAGCAAAACATAATAATAAATATAAAAGAAAAAAAGCAAATAAAACAAAAATTCAAAACAAATCAAGAAAAGAAAAAACCAACATAATATAAATATATATAAAAAAGGAAAGAAATGAAAACGAAAAAAAAGAAAAAAAAAGGAAATCAAAAGTCAGAACAAAAAAAAAAAAAAAATAAAAGAGAAAATAATTTAACAAAAAAGATTTAACAAAATAAAAAAGAAAAAAATTTCATCAAACAATTCAAAATTCAAACAAAAAAATGAAAAGCACTGAAAGTTGTTTTTGTACTGAAATGAATTCGCCTGGCTATTATACTTAAGTAGCAATTCGAATTAAAAATTGATTTACTTTTTATGAAAATTAAAGGTACTAATAATTTATTTGTTGAAAAAATGGGCTACACAGGACATTAGTGGAAGGCACAAGGATATGAAAATTAAGATGAAAGTCTTTTTTGTTACAATGTGATGGTTAAAAAAAATATGGTATTGAAGAACATTTATATAAGTCGAGAATTTTTTTTTAGTATTATGCAAAAGAAATAGTGGAAAAAAGCTTGATCATTAAATCTACAGCATACTAATTACCTAATTAAAAAAAGAAATAATAATAATAATAATAATATAAGTAAGAGCGCACTGAGCGTGGCAGATTTAGTTTAGTTAGAATTTTAAACAATATATGCATAATAGCGACAATTATACAACGCAAACTAAATCGAAAAAGAACACAACTCAAAAAATTTTCAAAAACGGTTTTTTTTTAGAAACCAGTTCAGAGAACACATACTCAAAAAACTGCAAATTTTAAATTACATTCCTTATTGAATGAAAAAATAGCATTATGACTGTTTTCATATAACCCGCGTTGCTTGGTGTTATTTGTGTTTTTGAACAATTTAAATTTTTCGAGTTGTGACATTTCGGATTTAATCTGCGATATATTTTTGTTTCTTTATTTTAAGATTTTTTATAATTTCGTTCATTTTTACGTGTTTTTTTCTTCAAACGTTTCAGTTGAACTCACTAAAGTTATGCAAATTTAATTTTTTCTGCTCCTTTTTAATTACTATTATGTTGTAATTGCAAAATCAACAATATTTTTTTACATAACCTTTTTTTTGATTTTGTAAATTTTGTTTTGCTAATTCTTAACATCTTTTATAATTTTAATTTTTTTTATATTTTACAATTTAGTAATAAATTTATTGTATTTTAATTTTTATGTGTTTTATAATTTTATAATAATTTTTTTTGTTCATTTTTTAAGTAATAATTAATTGTTTTTGTATATAGTGCCTTATTGACAATTACGCCGCTTAAGTTTTGTGCTTTATTTGAAGAATGGATTTGTAGATGCCGATGATTTCATAGTGCAAAGTATTTGCCGCTCTAATTGAAAATCATAATCGAGTCCCTTAAGCACGTCCGCAATTTGTGGCAGTGTGGGTAACTGGGAAAGAGAAGAAAAAATGTGTTACAATAATTATAAAAAAAAATATTAAAATAAATAGTAACACATATAAAAAAATTATTATTACAACAAAAAGATATCAATTATAAAACAATATTTAATGTGAAAAAAATTATTAATTACTTATTAATCAATAAATATATTAATCATTAACAAATTATTTCATATAAAAAATTATTACAAAAAACAAAACAAGTTATCAATTTTAAAAAATTATTAATCATAAAAAACTTATAAGTATAATTATAGTTATTAATTTTTAATAGGAAATTAAATGTATAAAAAAATTTATAAAAGAAAATTAACTCTATAAAAACTATTAACTATAAAAAAGTAGTAATAATAAAAATAGTATTAATTGCAAGAAATTTTAATTTTAAAAGCAATTATTAATAATTAAAACATTTTATTATAGGAAAATTATTAATTATTAATTATAAAAAAGTTATAAACTATAAAAAGTATGTATATTAATAATAAAAAATATTATTTGTGAAAAGATATTTTAAAGATAAAAAATGCGACAAATACAAAAATCAATAATAATATAAAAATTATTAATTATAATTAAATAAGTATAATTATAATTAATACAAAAATTTAAAAATAAAAGAATATTACAGTGAGGTGATAGTTTTTAAATAGAAATGAATTGTATAAAATTATAAATTATAAAAAAAATATTATTATTAGCTTTAATTATTAAAAATATTAATTATAAAAAATATTAATTATAAAAATGTTAATTAAAAAATTTGTTAATTATAAAATATTGTCTAATTTAAAAAATTAATTAAAAATTAAACAAAATAACATCTAAACATAACAATAAACAAGTTATTAATAACAAAAGAACTATTAATTATAATAAAAGATTATTACTTACAAAGAACTATTAATTATAAAAAACCTACTAAATATTAAAAATTTAAATAATAACAATATTAATATTAAAAAAAAATATTAATCACAAAAATAATTGTAAACCATTAAAATATTATTAACTAAAAAAAGTTATTCATTATAAAAAATAGTAATCATAATATATATATAAATATATATATATAAATAAATAATATATTAATATATATATATAAAATATTATTATTATTAATTATAAGAATAAATTATAAATAAAAAAAATTTGTTATGAAAATAAGTTATTAATTCTAAAAAAATACATTAGTTATAAATAAAATATAAATAATAAATTATAAATATAAAAAAATTAATAATTATTGAAAACGTATTATTAACAAAAAAAATAGTAATAAAAATAAATTATTAATTCTAAGAAAAGTAGTTATAAATAAAATATTAATAATAAAATAATATTAATTATAAATAAAATAATAATTATTAAAGAATTATAATTAAAAAAAGTTATCAATATAAAAACATATTAATTATGAAAAGTTATCAATTTGAAAAAAAGATATTAATTATAAAAAAATTATTCTTTATAAAAAATATAAATCATATAAAAAAATTAAAAATATAAATAATGAAAAAATATCAATTTTAAACAACAAATATTAAACAGGAAATATTAATTATCAACAAAAACTATTAATATTATTAATAATAATAAAAACGATTTATTATAAAAAAGCTTATCAATTGTAAAAAAAATATTTATTATATAAAAAATATTGATTAAAATTTATTATATTAAAATAACCTAGAATTCAATAATAAAAATATTCCTTTTCTATATAAAAGTGTCAACAATATTTTAAAAATTCTATATACTCTTTAACGATATTATATTGTAAAACTATATATAATATAATAAGTATATATGTATCCATATATATTATATTTTCCTTATACCCCACTCACATTATGCTCTGCCATTCGTTTGAGTGTTGGGTTTATCATGAATGGCACACCCTCAACCTCCGAGTAGGCACCCAACGTGCCAACACTGTGACCCGATGTGTTTGTAGCACAGTGTGCTGTGATGGGTGGACGTGGTGCAGGTCGTTGTGGTGACTTGATTTGAAATGAAGCCTGTATTTCTTCGTAGTCATGGTCACTGGGCACGGGTGGTAGCTAAAGTGGAAAATATTTTAACAATAAGAATTCATCATAACACAAACTTATACTCTTATACAGATGTGAAAATACCTACCGGCTGTTTGGGTGGGCCATTCCAATTAGTTGCGCCACCACTCAAATTCAAACGATTTAACGCCTTCTCCACCTCACTGCTGCCGCCACCATTACTGCTACTAATGCTGCCATTTGGTACGGGTGGTGCTACAACAGGCACAGGGGGTGGTGAACGTATGGGTATGGCACCGGTTTTATAACAAATCAATACGCCATTTATATCACTAAAAGAGAGAGAATAACAATTGCAATTATTAACATATGTACATAGATGAAACGGGTGGTAATTGTAAATATTAATCGATAATTTATGCTCACCCCGCTAGCTTGAAGCCTTCCGGTGCAACTTTCAATTTTGAACACAATATGATATCGGTGACCGCCTGTGTGACATTGCCGCGTTTGGTTAGTTTGTAGGCGATTTGTCGTTTACGCCACGCTTTCTGTTCTGTATCGGCGGTGCGTGAGAGTAGAGAGAATTCCTTAGGCGGTTGTGTTTTCTCGGGTATAACTCTGGAGGAAAATTTTAATTTAATTTTTTTGAGGTTATGGCTGAAATGTGTATTTGTTGATTGGAAATACAGCACTGATGGAGTGAAGTTTTTTAAGTTTATTTGAATTAAGTGAAATTTGAGGTTATGGTCTAAGCTGCGCTAGTAGAAGCTAATCTAATCTATTGATTTCAGAAGAAAATTATTGCTCAATTTCTATTTTGAGGTTATGGTGAATAGTTTCTTCGTTGTTTTTGAAGAAAATTTTGAGGTTATGGAGAAAATATATATTTTTGTATAGCTTATGTTCAATAAATTTCTCAATTTACTAATTTTATAGGTTTAGCATTAGCAAAAATAAAATAAATCTGTAGTTAGAGATTAAATTATTTAAATTTTGTTTTGAAGTTGTATTTTTCATAGAATTTTGCGGGCAATTAAATAATTTCCTTATTATGCTGGGTCTTCTCAATGTAAGAGAGCAGTTTGTGTAGTGTCTTTTCCGTTGATATGCCCGTGTCCATCCAAGCGGGAGGGGTACCAAGGTTCTCTAGAAGAAAAAAAAGCTTAAATGACGCTTGCCAAGGCTTAAAACCTACCCATCTGCGCATCGGGATCTATTTCAACTACCTTTAAACAGCACTTAAAAGAGAGTACTGCCCTCAGCTATACAAGCCAAAAACTTGGCCTTGCCTGCGAAGAGCGAGTTTGCTGCTTCTTCGATAGAGAACGTGTTTGTTCCACCGACTTTTACCACATTAAAATACATCCACATACTTCCATAGCCAACGCAGAGTTAATATGAAAGCTTACGCCGGCACCAACACTTTTTTTTGCACTCTGAGGCAGCTTATCCGATGGTAACCCGTATTATTTGTACGTAATTTCACGGAAGTCTTTTGGTTAGCGAAATATCTTGCTCTATTTCCTGTTCCTGTTCCAGGCGGTACTAACACATAGTTTTCATTCGCTTAGACCAGGTGCTGAGATCGTTATCTTCACGAGAGTCAGCTAGCCGACCGCACCGTCCGTTTTATGGGCATACCAGACTGGGTTTTTTTTACCCCACAACGTCTTCAGGGAAGTTTTTGTTGCAGTCTTATTTGTGCGGGAACCCGTACTCACAGTCACGGTGGAAATTGGCTTCTTGATGCTGCTGGAAGCGCACATTTATATGTTGAAAATTGACTTCTCCAAGTTTAGGCAAGTTCCCCGTCCTTCGCTATATTCCACCGAGCATGTAGTCACTATGGCATACCATTGTTGTCACTGAGGTCAGTGAAAAAAGGTAGCCCATGAGAGGGTTGGCATCCACTCTGAGGTGGTAAGTTGCACAGAACTAGAATTAGTGAAAGCAAGATGTGTAAGCTCAGCTGCTCCTACACCATCTACTAAATGATGACAAGTTCAGAAAATACTACGAGGCCTGCTGGGGTTTTCACAGAACGTTGTCTAGTCATGCCGTTAGCATGAAAGTAATTTTCTGCAGAGTTTCAACGCTGCCAACTCAGATTAGCAAAGGGTAAAAAATAAAAAATAAATAAATATAAATTTTTTAAGATAATTTGGTTTATTTCGCATGTGAATGCACTCATTAAAATATTTAATTATACTTTAATCTTTATTTACGCGCATTACGTCTTGATAGCGTTATCTTGCTTTGATTACATAACTTAAAAACTCTGTGACTGGGACAGTTCTTTGAACTTAGCATCACTTGCTCAAGGTGCGTTCATTTGGATTTTTCTTTTTTTTCTCTTGATTACTTGGCCTTTGCATATATGTATGTATGTATGGTTAGTCGTAAATTTCTAGCGTCAGAGGCATTCTCAAGTAAACCGTATACAAATTACAAGTAAAATTGTTGCGAAACTTGAAATGAGTCACGTCATCTGTGTGCCTGATTTGAGATTGGATGATGGTTTCAATTTGTGAAATGTTTGTATTTATGATGACGTCATAGAAAATTAATTTTTTCTTTGTTTTTTTTTATCCTTTTTGCTTTTAAATAAAATTTATTAAATTTTTATTTTTTCTTGTCACTGTAACTTGCCGTAAAATAGTCTGCTCGGTTATCACTAGTTGGCAACGCTAATCCGATTGTGTCAAACTAACACGTGTTTGCAAGGAGATTTTTCAAGCAATATTTTTTGAGAACACAATTCTAAAAATTGTCAGACGTTGATGCTTTTTTACTATAAAAAGTATTGATGGAGTAAGACCCGGCATGCAAGCGGCCCAGAGATAGCTGATAGATTAGGCATCACTCATACGTCAGTTTGGGATTATTAAAAAAAGGATGGTTACTCAAAAAAGCTCGAATAAATACAAAAAAAAAAAAAATAATAAAAAATATTCATCGCTTCTGAAATGTGGCAAAATGAAATCATATCTGAGGCGTGGGTTAAATACGAGAATTTAAAGTGAAAAAAAGCATAGTAAAATGCCGGTGACCCTCCTCAAATGACTTCAAAACCTGTCGACACACATGATGATGCTGAGTATATGGCAAGAATGGTAGGGAATTGTCCAGTATGTGCTGTTACAAATCGGACGAGGCGATCAATACTGCGCCCTACTATCAATAACTGAGTAGATTACAACAAGCTCTTCAAAAAAAAAAAGCGCCCAGAGTTGATGAATAGAACGCGTGTGATAATGACAACGCCGGACCACATACATCTTTGATGACCAGGCAAAAATTGACAGAGCTTGGTTGGATGGTTTTGACGTATCCACCATATAACTATCTATAAAACTCTCTTGAAGAATTCCAGTAGTCTACTCCGCATTGATTGAAACGTAAAACGCGCCGTTCGAGTTAGAGTTATTTACAGTTTTCATCTCGCATCTATAAGTTCGATTGGGTTATGCAAGATGGCGTTAAAAAGCCCACATTTTGCACTAAAAAAACACAGGTGAAGTGTTGAAGATGGAAGGTTAATTGTCGATAAAAAACAATGACAATCATTGAGTCTGACCATTATAGGAGCACTCTTTCGATAGCCCAGGAGCTGAACATTGTACAAATCACAGTTTGTTTTCAATTGAAAAAGACTTAATGCCCAAAGAAGCTCGGTGTAGGGGTATGCCGCATGATGTAACGAGAAAAAACTTCAAGGACCGATGGTTTCAACTGCGAATCGCTGCTGAAGCGTAGCCAACTCAAACCATTTCCGATGCAGACGGTTACCTGAAGTGTGAAGTGGATAACTTACGGCAGCGTCAAACGAAAACGGTCGTGCTCGAAGAACAGTAAGCCATCCTAAATGGCCTTCCAACTATGAGCTGCACGCCTACGGCCAAACTCTTAATTCGAACATATCCGGTCAGCAATTGAACCATCTGAAGAAAGCATTCGCGCTCAGCTTTGGTTAATAGGAGAGGAATTGTGTTTCATCAGAACAAAGCCAGACCACACACTTCGCCAGTGACACGCCAGAAGCAATCGAGAGCTTAGTTGGGTGGTTCTTATGCATACACGACATAGTTCACACCTCGCACCAAGTGATGACCAACTGCTCCTATCTATGGCGAATGAGTTGGTTGGTGAAAAAGGGACCTCAAGAGAAGCCTGTAATAATCGTTTGTTCCAATTTGTTATCATTAGATACAAGGGTTTCTATAAGAGAAGCATAATGACAACTGCAAAATGGCAAAAAAAATAAAATTAAAAATATTTGTTATTCCAACAGACTGATAATTCTCTTTCTCTTCCGGATAATGCCCTTTTCTTAATGCTGTCAATATTTACTTTTAATGATTAAAAGTTTATTTACACTACTTTTCTACTACACTTTTTAATGCGATTTATTGTTTGCTTATTAAATCAAAACACACTTTGCCACCGAAGTATAAATCAAACATAAAATGGTACAACCATTGTAGCCATATTAGGGTTGTATACAAACTGCCGGCGAGTCTCTTCAGCACTACATAAAGAACTCTTTAGTTTTTTAACCTAATTTCCTTCAATGCGATTATTCATTTAAACCGCAATATTATTTCTTTATTTTAGAAAATTTATTTATTTTAGTAATTTCAGCGAACGGCAGGCAATAAATGCTTATTTTCCATCTCATTATATTCTATATTCTATGAAAAATTCCCACAAGTGTTATTGAGATTATTGAATGAATAAATAAGTCTGACTCAGTCATTTATCGAACATGATGGTATCGATGTGTTATCGAAATCAATAACATCAAATTAATTAAGCAAATAAATAAAATGAAAGGTGAACACATTTAAGTGAACATAATAAGCTATTTACGTGAATCGACATACAAACATATGTACTTATGTGCATACGTATACAATTTACTGATTGCGAATCATTGGTCAAGGTCATTTACATATTGGAAATGGACAATTGACAACTGATAGGAAATAACAAAAACAATGATATATTTATAAGCGCTACTAATACAAAATGCGAAGAAAACATAATCTTATTAAATAAAATAAAATAATAAAAAAATAAATACAAACAAAAAAAATAAATATAAAATAAAAATTATATAAAAATAAATTAATAAAAAATAAATAAAGAAAACTAAGAAAAATAACAAAAATAATAATAAATAAAAATAATAATAATAAATAAAAGATAATAATAGTAAATAAAAAAAAATAATAATAAATAAAAGATAATAATAGTAAATAAAAAAATAATAAAATATAAATAAAAAAATATAAATAAAAAAATTTAAAAAAAATTAAACAATAAAATATAAATAAGAAATAAAAAAATAAAAGTAATAAAAAAGAATAAATAAAACAACAAAACATAAAAAATAATACAAGATTTAAATCTTTAAATAAAAATAAAAAAATAATACAAGATTTAAATAAAAAAAATAAAATATAAATAAGAAATATTAAAAAAAAAAAAAAAAATAAAAAAATATAAATAAGAAGTAAAATAATAAAAGTAATAAAAAATATAAGTAAAACAATAAAAAAACAAATAATACAACATTTAAATCTTAAATAAATACAAAAAATACAAGATTTTAATCTAAAAAAGATTTAAATTGAAAAACATAATAGAAAATGAAATAATAAAGGAAAAAATTAAAATAATAAATCAAATAAAAAATGAATATGAAATAATAATAAAAAAATTATAATAATAATTAAAAAAAAAAATAATAAAATGTAAATAAGAAATAAAAATAATAAAAAAATAAATAAAAAAATAAAAGATTTAAATCTTAAAAGATTTACATTTAAAAACATAATAGAAAATTAAACAATAAAGGAAAAAAATTGAAATATTAAATAAAACAAAAAACGAATAAAAAATAAATAAAATAATACAAACTAGAGCAAAAAAATGAATAAAAATTAAAAATTGAATAAACAAATGAGCATTATTTTAATTTTTGTAATTTCATTGTTGTAAGTGTACAAAACTAGAACAGTAAACAGAAAGTGCAAATACAAAGACTACTTCAAGCAATTGAACAAAAATATTGCAGCGAGTTTTGCGAGAAACAGAAAATATGAAAAATAGTTTTAATAAAGTGATAAATTTGAAAGGAAAATGTAAACGACAAAATAGATAACAAAAGATGAAGTATTTAAACAGTGAAATAGATAACTGAAAACCAAAAAAAAAAAAAAAAAACAATCAGATCAATAGCAACGCAAATAAATCGTTCAATAAGTGTGCGGCGCTACACTAAAAAAAAATTAAAAAGTAAAATGAAAAAAAGTGAAACAAAAAAATAAATTAAATAGAAAAAAATAAAAATAAAATAAAAACCAATAATTCGAGTTAATTAAATTCCTACAAACAATGCATGCATTATATTATGTTATATACGCGTACATATATACGCCTACAAAGCCAACTAAGCCACACAAAGAGGTACATGAATTTACATTCATATTTAATTTAGCTCTTCATACGCTCATTACTCACTTTAGCGTCTCCACTACATATTCGGGCAAGCCCTCAGTCTTCGATAAGCATAAATAGCGTGTTGTCTGTCGACCAAAGAGTATATTATTTTCACGCCATAAATCGGCATCGGCATCTTGATCATAAGTACGATGGATGGGTGTGAAATTCTTTGGGCATCTGGAAGTTGAAAAATGAAAATATGAATAAATGAGCGTAATAGAACAGACTACACGTCAGTGAAAAGAACATTAAATAAAAACATTATATAAAATAATATATTATATAAATAATATTAAAGAAATATATATAAATAAATAAAAATAAAAATAAATCATAAAAAAATAAGTCAATTTATAAAAATGAATAAATTTTGAAAAGCAAATAAATTTTAATTAAAAAAAATTAATTTATTGAAAAATTTAAAAATAGAAATATTAATAAATAAATAAAAAATTATAAAAGTATATAAAGAAATCGTATAGACAAAAATATAAGAAATAATTTATAAAAATAAAAAATATACAATTAAATAAATGAAATAAAATAATAATAAAATATTAAAAAATTAAATGTGTAAATTATAAAAATAAAAATGTGTAATGTATAAATTAAAATATTCTACAAATAAAAAATTAATTATAAAATTAAAAACAAAAAAAAGAAGTAAATGAATTAAAAAAATAATAATAAATTAAAAAAAACTAAAACAAATTATAAAAATAAAAAAATTAGAAAATGTTAAAAATGAAAAAGTAAATTATAAAAACTAAATAACTAATATATAAACTAAAAATGGAATAACTATATACATATATATAAGAGTAAATAATAACTAGTTATAAAAATTAATAAATACATTTTAAAAATAATTCATTAAATGGAAGAATGAATAAATAAATTAGAAAAAAAATATTATAAAAACTATAAACAAAAAAATAATCAATGAACTAGATAAAAATTATAGACAGATTATAAAAATTAGTTAATTAATAAAAAAAGAATAAATTAAAAATTAAAAAGTAAATTATAAATAAATAATTAATATGTAAACTAAAAATGGAATAACTATATACATAAGAGTAAATAATAATTAGCTATAAAAATTAATAAATACATTTTAAAAATAATTCATTAAATGGAAGAATGAATAAATAAATTAGAAAAGTAAAAAAGAGAAATATATTATAAAAACTATCTATAAGCAAAAAAATAATTAATAAACTAAACAAAAATTATAGACAGATTATAAAAATAAATTAATTAATAAAAAAATAAAAAATTAAATTATAAAAACTAAATAATTAATATGATATATAAACTAAAAAAGGAATTAAAAATTTGGTTAATTTATGATATATACATATAAATAAAGTAAATAATAACTTGTTATAAAAATTAATAAATACATCTTATAAATAAATGAATTATAAAAATAAAAACTTGAAATATATTATAAAAACTATCTATAAACAAAAAAATTATTAATAAACTAAACAAAAATTATACAGATTATAAAAAAAAAAATTAAATAATAAAAAAGAAATAATTATAAAAAATATAAAAAATAAAAATAAATAATTTTAAGAAATTTTTAAATAAATAAAAAATACAATAAATAAATTAAGTGTAAGTATTAATAACTAAATTGCAAAAATTAATAATTAACTTATAATAATATAATAAGAAAAAATAGATCAAAAAAAAATATTAATTAATAGACTAAAAAAGAAGTTAATTAATTATACAATTAAAAAAATAAACCTAAAATATTTAATAATTATAAAAATAAATAACTTAATAATTCATGTGGCAATAGTTTTGCATTTAAAATGTAAAAGTTTATATAAAAAGAAGACATTGTCGGCACGCAACCACCAGCCACTCGTGTTTGAGTGCTGAGAATGAATTGTCATTACAAAATGCAAAAACTACCACAGTGGGCGCAAGCTAACTAAAATTCCTTAATTTTTTTTTCTTTTTTTTTGAAAGATCTCGTAAATCCTCATAAACAGCAGAGTGTGTAGTTGAGTGTAAATAATTACTATGTAATGATTGTTGACAAAGAAGCCAATCTAAAGGATTAATGTAAGCTATCATGGAACGAAGGATACTACCTTAGGGCATCCGACTCACGGAACATCCCTCTTAATAGTTATAGCAAATAATACATTCGTTAGACCAGCTACAAACTACTTAAATTAGAGCCAAAACTGCTCGCTTCGCACAAAAGAACCTCTCAGATTCCCGTGACTCCGTATTAATTGATACTATGCCGTTGTGGTTGTTATGGTAACGTTCTGCTTGCTCAACACGAATAGATGCAGGCAAAGTTAGTCTATATCGTCGAGGTTATCTAAGGTAATACCTAAGAAACGAAATGTTTCGACGGTTTTATACCCGAGAGAGAGCTATTAGTGTCATGCGTGGACTCTTTGCCCTCAGGACATATGTGAAATATTTCGGTGTGAAGTCTGGATAGGCAGGAGTCGAGTCTGTTCCAGTAAGACATAGGTCTCGCGCTACCCTTTGAGGTCTTCATCTACTATGGCTCGTGCTTAGATTTCGGACACACCATTCATGGGGAAAGAGGCCATGCGTGAGCAGTTTTTTGAGAGGTGGTTCAGTTTCCAGCAGGTGTAGAAAGTAAACAATAGCGGGGAAAATGCACCACCCTGAAGATCATTTTGATTTTTTTGAGTTTGTTTTTTTTCTTTCGCAGGTCCAGTACTCCCATCATAGTTCGCACGCAGAGTCGATTACAGTTGAGGCCGAAATGAGTAATAATAATCGCTCTGGATCTAGAAGTAATTGCATAAGCATACTGTTTTCGATGGGCCTTCCAGATAATCCCCTGAACCGTTTCACTGAAGATAACAATCGGAGTTTGGAAATTTCCACAATTGGCGGACCGACGAGTTTAGTCTGAAATAGCTCGCCCACTACTTTGGGTCTGATGAGGTGTGGTCACTGAATGAAGTTTTCATCCGGTCAGCCGGATTTAACATTTATCTGACCAACGCTTAGTTGCACCAGATTAGAGGTTGCAGAACCATCATAAGGGTCCTTCAATCTTGGTGACCTAAGAAAGACAGTCGTGCTTTGATTTCCGTAATGCGTTCTGCAGAACTGAAACGGGCAGCCTTTAGTATCCCCCCTCACACCACACGGGCTTAATTTCGTTTTTTGTTTTTCGAAATTTGCCCCACACATAAGGCCCACTGTCCGCTGCATTCATAATACACTCGCGTTCACCAAATTGAATGGTGGAAATAATAGACCAAACAACACTCAGTTGAAGAGAACTTCAATAAAAAAACCCAAGCATGCATGCGGAAGCAATGTAGGCTAATTATGCGACCACAAGCCCGAGTGCCAACAATAGCAATGCACATGCGAGTGCACCCGACCCGCAGCACAACACAACACAATGAGTCAAACGCAGCAACAGAAGATGTAAGAGCATTAGCCAATGGGTGGCTAAGAATTTTTGCGGCCAAGCACGCAGCCACAGTCATTTTCTTGGGAAACCAGCAAAGAAATTTCATAATAAGTATTTGGCTCATGGCGGCACTCAATATCTATAATAAATTCCATGCATATTTTGTCTTTTTTTTATAAATAAATATACAGATTGACAGTAGAGGGAGATTATTTAGCATGTGACGCGGGGAGCTGGTACACGGGGGTCGCAAGTACCGCAAGTTTCGGTATGTAGAAAGCAATTTCTGTAGGGTTTAAGAGCACCCAGACTTCAGACTTCCTACACATTTGCCAGTCGTGTTCTTGATAAGGCCGGGTAGAGACGGTAGAGCTGGCTGGGGTCTCATACATGCCTGGGTATTGCCAATTTAAGTTTCGTATGAAGTTCTAATCTTTGGGGCTTCCCAATACATCTACAAGAAGGCAAAGTTTCCTTTTCCCTCTGCCAGTTACTTTGGAGTGGATTGCTGATCCCAAAGTATTTTAGTGGTAGCCTCTATGTTGGAAGAACTTAAGAACTTTAAGCGTTTTTCTGGGCACCAAAGCTCAAGAAAACATGGGAGAGTGCTGAATGGGCTGACGCAATCGTTGCCTTTTACATTAGCGTGACTCGGAACCGAACTGATATTCAGTGTATTTATGCCGTGAAAGTCTGTTAAGGCAGGCAAATTTAGTCGTAAGTCCTCGAGATCATTTACAGAGAGGTCCAGGAAACGAGCTCTTTCGACGAGTTCGGACCAGAGGGAGAGGGTGTTCGATAAGTTGGTTTTAGAGAGCTAGCAAAAAGGTGGGGAGTGTTGTCGTGGTAAAGTCTGGATGGGTAGGAATCAGGTCGACTACAATATCCAGACCTTTCTCTTAAGTTAGCTAAGGTTTTTGAACTTGAAGAAGTTGTGGTTAGATTCCGAGAACACAATTCTTACGAAGAGAGTTTACGAGAATGTTGATGGGCTCTCAGTCAATGGATTAGGTATTTGGTCCAGCCCAGCGGTTCAGTTCTAAAATGCTGTATGGAGCCTTTGAAGTCGAATACTCCGTTCCTGATGTATCTAGGTGCTGGCTCGCTCAGCTTCCAATAAATAAGTGGCTGTTACCATCACCTCGACGGTAGCACACCAGTAGATCTTGCGACCAAAACTTTACATTATGCTCCTTAGCTGGGTGCATAGAGATTTCAGTGTGTAAGTGGCGCATAGGTGGCATGACCCCAAGTAATGCTCAGAATCACTGCATTAAAGACAGAGTTGTAGTCATAGAACTTGAAGCTACCTTCCAGATGGGAAGCCTTACCCTGAGCCCCATCAGAATGGATATAAATGACGTACCTTTTTCCGATAATCTATTCTACTCGTTATTCTTTTCTACACGCAAGAGAGTAAGTGACTTGCACATGACCGAAAGCTTCTTCTCCCAATAGAAATTTAATAAGTTTATCCACTTTATGAACACTCATGTACTTACTTTTCATAATCCTCAACAATTTGCAATGATGTAATGGGTCGATTGTCGGGTAGAAAGCTCATTATTGAATTGATCACATTCTTTTGTGTGGATAAAGCACCGACCGAATTAACGGCGGTGGGCGATGTGGTCACCCCGATACCACTCTGTATATGTTTGCCGGCTTTATTCATGTTGACGGCGCTGCCGCTACGCTGTTGATGTTATCGCAGTTGTCTTACGCTTGCGCCTAGAAGACGTTAAGCCACTTGGCGGCTTTGTAACCTGCAGAAGTAACAACAGCTGTTGCTCAAAAGTGTGTTGTAATTGTTGTTGTATAATTTTTATTGTCTATGCGTTGTTAGATCTTTCCACTGTTTGTGTGATTTGAATAAATTATCTTCCTTCTTTGTTAAACACTCTTCGGGGGTACCAAATTTGCCTTGTCACTGCGAACTTTTTGCAATTCTTCGTCTTTTACTGCTTTGTCGCTCGCCGTGCCGTGTTTGAACAACTAATTTTATGTGCTAAAAGTAGAAGAAGAAGAATAAAAGTGGGAATATTAATATTGTTGGCATTAGTCATTCGCGCATAGCTAAAGTTGTACGTGTCTTCGATAAGGAGCAGTTTAATTCTGTATGCCAAAAGTTAATTGATTTATTGATAGCGGAAAAACCTGTAAATAAATTTATTTAAAAATATCTTTGAAAAAGATAAACGAATGAGCAGTTTTGGAGAACGACGCAATCTTCGATGAGAAGGGATCTCCAAGCATGGTTGCCGGACTTTAAAAAGTCTCGTGGTTAGTACTAGAAACTCCCCTCACATCGCTTAGTTAGAGTGTCAAGGAGTTAAGCGTACCGAAGGGTGCTAATGGGCAGCAACCGAATCTCTACGCCCCTTGCGCTTACTCCGTGTTTTTGTTGTTGTTGTATCCCAAAGTACTTTTTAGTGAATGTTGCGGGAGTGACAGTCCTTGGTCGAATTAAAATCCGAGTCGTTGCGATATAAAGTCACGACTGTCGCGGGAAATTTTGGATTTTAGTCGCCTCTTACGACAGGCATACCTTACAGCGGGTAAATTCTTGAACACCTAATCAGGGGGGGTGTGATGATTGTGATTTGTGGTTCTAAATATCATCCCACTCATCATCTTTGGTGCCAAATTAACCAAGGAGCCTTTTTGTTAGAGATCTGCCGAATTCACTATAATACAAGATACAGATACGAGAAGCGAAATCTAGAACAGAAGGCAGATCCTGGGAAATTATTTAAAAGTTTCGTCAGGTTCATTTTCACCCTTCGGATCTTAGCCTAGTCCAGCACTCGCTGAGTATGTCTCAGACACACCTGCCCAAGGACCACATTTCGACAGAGGGACACATGTGTCTTGCTTGAACGTAACGGAGCCGAAGTACGCAAATATGCATGATCTTATCAAGTTTGAGATTACGCTGCGGCGCAATACCCATGCCACTTCTATTTTGAAATACGATGGATGCTTATAATGAGTGAACTCAGGTTAGTAATTGCGGTTCGCTCATATTTGGCGGATATTGTTCTGCCCCCTTTGAATCAGTGTGTCCCACGCTTACTTTATGGCAAGTCAGTCGATATAGGCTGTGGATAAACCGCAATCTGTTTCGCCTGTTCTGAAATCCACCACAAAAAACATTTCTAATTGGTGATTAAATAACCAATCGCTCACACATATCGATTAATCGATATATCAGGAATTCCTTATTTTATTTTGAATTCAACGTTTTTTTGGTACGGTAAAATCGTGAGTTTTTGAAAATATTACTCTGAGGGCAATCCAAAATTTAAATAAAAAAATGATAGATTTAAAAAATTAGAATAAGAAAATAAAAAAAAAATTAAAACAAAAAATAAAAATAAATAAATACCAAAAAAAAAATTAATAAAAATAAAAAAAAAATATAGTAAAAAATAAAATAATAATAAAAAAATATAAAAAATAATAATAAAATAAAACAAATATTATAATGAAAATAAAACATGAAAAATTAATAATTAAAATACTCGTAAAAATAATAAAAAAATAATAATCAAAATAAATAAAATAAAAATAACAAAAAATTTTAGTAAAAAAAAAATAAGAAAATAATAATAAAAAAAAAAATTATTAAGAAAAAAACATGAAAAAGTAATAATTAAAGATAAATAGATATTTTTGGTTAATAAAATAATAATACTAAAAAATTAAACCAAATAAAAAAATTTAAAAAAAAAAATACAAAAATATAAAACATAAAAAGATAGTAACAAAATAATAAAAAATAACAATAAAAAATTATAATAAAAGCATAAAAATTAAAAAAAAATAAAAGAATATTAACAAAAAAAGTAAAATAAAAGTTTCTAATATAATAATTAAAAAAAAAAAAAAAAATTAAGAAAATAAGAAAATTATAAGATAAAAAAATAATAATAATAATATATAAATAAAAAAATGATGATAATAATATATATAAATAGTAAAAAAATAAAGAATGACAATTTTAAAAATATTACAAAAATGAAATAATAATAATAAAAAATTTTAGATTAAAAATAATACAATAATAAAATAAATAAAAAAAAAAACAAACATTATTAAAATAGTGTATATAAAAGTATTTTACTAAATTGTTATCTATTTGAATAAAAAATAATAATTGCTACGAGATTCAATGATAAATAGTTTAAAGTATAATCAGCAATAACTTGCTGACGAGGCGCGTAGGTAATGTCAATATCGCTGACAACGTCACCGCGATAAAACGTACGTATGTCAATGTCAAGAGACCATAAAAAAGTAAAATAAAATAATACTAAATATAAAGCAATGATTCATTAAACGCTAATTAACATAAAAACAAGTACAAAAACAACAGCTAACAATGTGAACAATAAAGAGCAGTTATCGAAACGTTAGTTGATACACGCATATTCGCTTAAAAAAGTTGCATACATACATAAATAAATAATAATAATAAAATGTGATTATGACATTGCAAAAAAAATTAACCGAAAATCACTGCAATGTTATTTATCTCCAAACAAATCTACTCAATGACGTTTGCCAACATTTGTCAGCACGTAAATCCCCAGTTGATGCTTCTGCTGTTCGCCAGTGCGAGCGTCTGTGAGCAGAGCGATTGCCGGTTTTTATAATATTAGCAATACTCATTAACTAGAATTTATAAATAATTTCATTTTTAATGTGATATGTGGGATTTCACTCTTTGCTAATCCCATTTGTCGGCATACCGCGAATTTGTTCACAGCGAGCAGGCAATAAATAGAGTATAAAAAGAAAAATACAAAAAGAGGAAAGTTTTGTTGGCTTAAAAATGTATATGAATATATGTTTACTCGTATGTGTGTGTTAGTATTGAACGAATATGGGTGCTAAATAATTTATTTAATTATTACAGCAACAACAGCTGTAAAATATAAACGAAAATGTAAGAGAAAGAGATTTTCTCGAAGGCTCACGTGAATTTATTTTTTTAGAAAGTTACCAAAAAATAGGTCAAAACTTTTGATTCATGGAAAAAAGTATAAGAAATAAACATATAAATAAAAGAAAAGTTGAAATAATAATAAATATTCAATTTTTAATATACTAAAATATATTTATATAAAAATAAAAATATTTTAACATTTTTTAAGAAAGAAACGGATTAAAATAAAGTTAAAATGGAAAAATAAAATAATATTAAAATAAAACAAATAATAAAAATATAATGAAAACATAAAATAATTGATTAAAATGAGGAACTAGAAAAAAGGAAACAAATAAAAAAGTTAAATATACACATAATTACAAAAAACTAAAAAAATAAATTAATATATAAAACAAAAATTAAAAAAAAAATATATATAACAAAGATTAAAATAAAATAAAAAAAAAAGAAATATTAAAATATAAAATTGAATTAAATGAAAACATGTGCTTAAATATAAAAAATAAAATAAATAATATGAAAAATATGTACAAAGATATAATAAAAAAAAATAAGACCAATGAAAAATTTTGAAAAAATAAAAAAAATAAAAATACAAATATAAGACCAATGAAAAATTTTGAAAAAACAAAACGCTAAATTTTTATAAAAATGCAATATTAAAGATATAATAAAAAGTTTTAACATAAAAAACGAAAAAAATCTTCATATACAAAAAAATAACAATAAAAAAAGGATTAAAATGAAAAATTTAGAAAAATTAAAAAATATATAAAAATTATAAATTACAACAAATAATCTATTAATTAAAAAATAATTATTAAATAAATTAAAAAAGAGTTAGAAAAGAATTGAAACATAAAATCTAAAAAAAAAAAACCATAAAAACATAAATTATAAACTAAAAATAAATAAAAAAATTTGTATAAATAAAATACAAAAAAAAAAAATTTAATTAAAAATACCTATAAACATAGCTAATAAAAATAAAATTGAAAAACTAAACTATCATAAATTAATAAATGTATTAAGGAAAAAAAATAAACTTAATATTTAAAAATGAAAAAAAAAATACAAAAAAATATAAATAAAAATTATTAAATAATTAAAAATCATAAAAACAATTATATCAGAATTCAACAGTACAACAAATAATAAATTAAATAAAAAAGAACTAAAAAATAAAAAAATTAACAAAAAAAAGCTTAAATAATAATTTACTGAAAAAATTAAAAATAACTAAAAATAAGAGTAAATAAAAATGATAATAAAAGTAGAAAAAAATAAGAGGGTTTTAGGAGTAAACTTACTATTTTCTTCTCGATTTACTACACTTTTTTCGGATCAGGAGCACTCTTCTGGGACGTGGAGCACAGGACCGACCAATTCGAAGAATTCATTTTTATGGTGCTTGAAATTTGGTACGTAGGTAGCTTTTTACTTAGATTAGGAGGAATACTACTCTCCTCTACGGGATCTAGACCAGAGACCTTCCTATTCGAAAGGAATCCTATCAATCAGTACATAGGTGGTTTTTACTTAGATTAGCAAGAGATGGTCCGAATGGATGAGAACATTCTGCTTTGGGAGTTCCCGACACAGGACACGGCGGTGGAAGCAGAGGAAGATGAACACCTCAACTCTGTTGGAAGGACCAAGTGGAGCAAGACCTGGGTATTTGGTATTTTCAATTGGCACCCAGCAGCAAGAAGATCAAAGCATGGCGCATTGTTGTTAACTCGACTATAATCGGATATCGGTGCATATGGCTGTAAAGAAAGTGACTGACTGCCGACTAATGGAGGCAACATCTCAGTGAAATTGTTTGAATATCTAAAGTAGTAGTAGTTCGTAGCCTAGTTGCTGTTAAGGGGCACTACTTTCAGCGGAGAAACTATTTGAAAGACATGAAATCTGATAGACCCCTGAACGTGCGAAGATTTGCTTTATCGTACATTGAAATATTAGAGGTATTTTAACGGAAGATGATGAAGACGATCAGTTTCGCCAGTATCAGGCGCCGTGATCGCGAAGTTAGTGTTCATCCCGCATAATAAAAAGGCATAAAGTAGAACTCGGCTGCCTTCTATAGGGCCTAGCTTCTCCTTTGATTGGTGGCATGCATCTACAGTTTTTTCTAAGTTGCCTCCTAGAGACCTATGGATTTTTATGAGGAGCCAAGTCAGAAACACACTCGGAAGGGTAGACAATCCATATTGAGAGGCTTTGCTTTTCTAGAAGGGCTCTCTACTTTATCCTTAACAAAAAGCTGAAGCTTATGGCTTATTGAATGTCTTTTGAGTGATGGCGAGTCAAATACAACAGGCAGCACACAGAGGGAAACCCCTCCTGTGACTTTAGCTCGCCTTCAACAGGATTTAGACGTTCAAAAGACAATTAACTTGCGACTAGGTCAGACAAAGATTGAGAGGTTGTTGTGCAATTTCCGGTATCATTGGACTTATCATAAATCATACATCTCCAGGTTGGTCTCCCATTTCAACCGTTTATGATTATCTACCCTTCTCTCCATATGAGAATTCGTCTTCTCCAACCGAGAGCTATCCAAGGTATACTTGGTCCACTTAATATCGGATCGAAGCTCATGGTTGCACTGGACAATGTTTCAAACTTTATTCGTAAATATTTTGTCCAGCAGACTTGTTATAAGTAGGCAGACGGTTCTTCCAGGACTTACGTTTATGGTTGTCTGCAGAGTCTGAGTTCGAAAGGCGCCACAGAAACCACAAGAGGGTTCACCTTCTTAGTTAAACTCCATGGCAACTAGTTGTTTGTTGCCTAACTGGAAGGCCTTTGATCTAGGCAGGAGAGAAACCAGAAATCTTCTCATTCCGATGGACCATAGAGCCATATCACCATATAGTCCAAATCCCGTCTTTTGCAGTTTGGTCATACCTAAATGCTCGGCTAAATAATCGACAAGTCGATACTGCATGGCTTTATGACATGAGGTTCACCTCGCCATTCCATTATACCCCCATAACCCAACAGCTCCACAGCAGTTCTTTGTAGTCTGCAAAGTTCGCGGCAAACCGTTCAATGATTCTTAGCCAAACACATGCAAACTTCCCTTGAAAAAAAAAAGAATTAAATGAAAGTTCGTCGAACTTACGAAAATCACGAAAATCAAATGGTAAGCTTAACGAACGCGAAAAAGCACAACAAAAACTAAGCTTTGTTGTCTGCTCAACAACCAAACGACAAAGAAGAAAATCAAAAAACCAAAGGGAAAACCCAAACGAAATTATGGCAGCAAAACTCTGGCACTACAACACCAACAAAAGTAACAAATTCAAGATAAAATTGGCAAAAGAGGAGAGGCAAAAGTGCCGACGACACGACGAACGCATAAGGAAAGAAGAAGCAATAAGAAGCGAAAAGAAATAAAGTGAATTTAGAGAAAGGGCTAATATATTGAAAAGACGCATAAGTACAGATAAACAGTTTGCCGCTTGATAAGGGCAATGTGCTGGACGTCGCGCGGCTGATTGGACGAGTGTCGCTTTCGTTAAATGTTTGAGCTGCACAAATAGAAACCACACATATTTACACACGAGCCGAGTGGCATGTAAAACAGTTCAGAGCTTACCAAAGCAGCATCATATAAAGTTAAATGGCAGAGAAAGAGGAGGAAAAAAGAAAATTGCATGCACACAAGCCGCAGGAGGAGTACGTGTCTGTCCGTCAGTCAGCCAGTCAGCCATCATAAAAACGAAGCGCACAGCAGTGGAACAGCACACTCACAGCATGACCATGTGCCACACGCTTTGCTGGCTGTGCGTGAGAGGTTGTTGCGTTTCTACTTCTTCTTCTTCTTCTCTCCTCCTTCTTTTTGCTCGCCTCGATAATAGAGCAAAGTGCAAATGTTGGCTGGGGCAGTCGTGACACGCTGCTGCTGCTGCTGGTGGTGATGGTGGTGGTGGTTTCGTGGCGTAGTTGGATTGTTGTTGCTTGTTCGATCAACTTTTTCGCAGTCTGACTGACTGACTGACTGAGTGGTTTACCAAGTCGTAGCCCCATCATTCATAGAGGCATTTCGAGTCAATTGCTGCAATGACCTCCAGCGGACGCGCTTCATATTTTTTGCTGCTCTATGCAGAGGCTTTATTGCCTTGAATTTGTGTTTTTAGCATTTATTTACATACACAGCGAGATATTATATGTAAATATGAGCGGCAACGGGTGCTTTCTTTGTTTATCAATAAAAGCAGTGTAGAGTAAATAAAAGAAGCAGATAAACAAACGAAAAATTTCTACTTTTGGGTTAATGAACCTTAAGTGCCTCAAGGAGGATAGAGCTTAAAGTCCAAGCGGGCTGTTGGACGGCTTTAAATGAGTGCGAGAGAGAGAGAGCTTTTAAATGAGTAGGTTTAAGGGAGCATGCAAAGGGTTGTTTAATGCCGTGTGGGAACTTATTTCATATAGAACCTGTGCTAAGTAGTAGGAGTTCAGTCTGCTACAGTATGAGATCTTCATTGTGTCGGTATTACTCGTGTTTCGCATAGCAGCTCGAGCTCTTTGTCTGCAATGGGTGGTAATTGGATTCCGAGCATGCGTTTTAGGGTAGAGTTAGATGTGTTTTACGAACTCCCTGTGAGTGGCGTTTAAATAAGATACACTTTCTGCTGGAGGGGGAAGGGCTAGTACTAGTAAAGGGTAAATTTTAGTTGCTTCCAAGCGTTATCTGAATGTCTATGGCATTAAAAGATGTGTGGATGCTGTGCACTTCGCGGAAGCCAAGTTAATATAGCGCTAGGCTCAGGTTCAGGGTGAAAGACGGCTGCATGACGTACTGAAGTGCTTTCGCTAATGAAAAGAACAGAGATAACAGACAATATGACTCCCTTCGAAGGTAAGTATTTCTGGTTGCAATAACGGGATCACTTACAGCTGTTTCCACATGTCGGGTATTTTTAGTGGTTAGTGACAATTCGAGGACCTTGGTGAGCGAGGGCTCGTTGTTTTAGTAAGCTCATACTTATGGTATATATGCGTTTCAAGGTTTTTTTCGGTCATCTAATAACACTTGGAAATTCTTCTCTGGTGAATAACAGCCCCGCGTTAGCGCAGTCGTCGAGTTACTTGTCATTTTGTGCTCTCAACCGAAAGGTTCAGTGGAAAACGTCAGCTATATTAGTTCGGGTATATCTACGTGTTTGACAAAGCACCATGAACGAACAAGAAAACTACACGACCAATCCTTCTTGTCGGTTAGACAATAGAATTGACTATTACAGCATGCTTGATAGTGCCAGAGGGAGTTTATATGTTATTAAATGTGGTTCTTAGGGAATGTTGCGGAAGTGAGAGTCTCTGGCTGGATAAAAACCCGACTTCCGCGGGAACTTTTAGATTTTAGTAGCCTCTTACGACAGCCAAGCCTTAGCGCGGGAAAATTCCTCAAGCCTTATCCCGCAGCGGATGTTCTTCAGTGTTCTGCACATTTGATCCGCTTATGGTGATTAACTACTGAGATTCCTGATAAATCCGCTGCTTCAATTAGCAAATGAGGCGATTTTCTGCGATGCTTCCGGGCGGCATGAAGCGAGCTTCAGCGGTGAGGACATTTTTCAATATAAATTTGTGTTGATCACTAGTTCAAAGCGGATCAATCCACTTTGTGGAAGTTGATATATATACATATGTAGGTATATATGCCCGGTGGTCCCAGGAAACAAAGTCAGGAGATCTGCCATCTGAGAAAAGTATGGATAAAAAAGGTCTCATAACTTTTCCGTTTACAAAATCACGCTGTACAATGAGACATATTGCCCAAATACAGATACAAGATGCGCTTTTTCTTTTACAAAATTTCGAAATAAAATTTTATTTTAAGCGACTCTTTTTGTTTGTGTAATGTTCAAAAAAAAAAAAGTAGTTCCAAATCACACCCAATTTCCATTGATAGTCTCAGCGTAGACGCCAGGCGTATACATATATATGTATGTACATATACAGCAATTTAGGTCAATTATGTAGACAGACAACATAGTACACTTGCTAAGTTTACATTGGTGTGCACGCCCGCATTTCTTTTTCAACTTTAATTTTATTTGATAAGCCTTCCCCATAGAACATACCGTCAAAAGAAATGAGCGGTAAGTAAAAGAGAAGCAAAGGAAAGTTAACATGGAATGTAAAATTGATGAAAAATATTAATTTTATCAATTTTTACATTTAAGTATTTATACATATGCACATATAAGCAAACACCTTTTCATACACCCAAAACAAAAGACGTGCTTTTTACAATAATAATAACAACACTTCAATGGTACGTGATTACTTAACGAAATTGCATGGCTTCTTTGTCACTTCATTCACTTTGTTTTAGAAGCAAATCTTAACCCAGTTGCATGCAGATATGGAAGTACTAAATACATACGTACATATGTATGTACAATCTGCAGGCGTATCTATAGCTGGCTGGGCACACAACAAATCGAAAAGACGTAGAAAACATGAAATACCAGTTTAAACAATGAAAACAAACACTCATAAGGACGCTGGAGGTGGCAAAGTCGAGAATAGCAGATGCAGATGTACAAATGTATGTACATACATATGTATGTAGATGCAGCTTCATTAAGACATTAGCTGCACGAAATCTGAGCATAAAACATTCTTTAACTTCACAATTCTATAATTTTTTTTACAGTTTAAACAAATTGTGCTGATTCTGAAGAGTTTTCTCCTTGGAAATATCTAAATAGAGCCAACGAAGTTTGTCTGTAACACTTATATATGTATGTTAGTATGAAAGAGCACCTTGAAATAAGCGTTCGTTTCACAATAGTGAAAATAAACTAAAGCCATAAAGGAGCTGCGCTAATTTTGTGTAGTAAAATACTGCATACAAACATACATATGTATATATAAATATACAGGCTGTTAGCATTACGCACGCTAAGTAACAAATTATTTTATAAATGAAAAAAACGCTCATTCAATAACAAATATAAAAATGCATACATACTCGTACATACCTATTGCAAATTAACTGATTTCACCCGAATGGCATAGGTACGCATAAACAGAAATCGGCGTAGACAAATTGAGGGCACTACTTGGGATTGTGTACGTTGAAGAAAGGCAAAGGTAAAAAAAAAACAGATAGCAATGTGGCGTATAGACAAGAAGTATCTACTTCCAGCGTTTCTGTAGGTCTTCTTTTTCTTATTTATCTTTCGGCATGGGCTTGTTCTACAAACCTTGCAGCACTTGAGACTTTGATTTTGGTTTGCAATCACTAGATGTAAATTTAAACAATTTTTTCTTCTTTTCAAAATAAATTTTCCTGTCTTGGCTTTTATGTAATAGATTTTTAAAATACTTCAACCACGTACAAATAATTCTGTATTTCTTTTCACAGCTTCCTTTTGCACTTCAGCCACTTCAGCTTGTCACGAAAGTTTCTTTTATTTATTTTTGTTTTTATTTCGTTACACTTGATTAAGCACTACACATCGAATTTATTTTTAGCTACCGTGTTAATTGTTCTTTTGTTATTTCTTTCTTTATAGCCACAATAAATTCAAATTCTTTTTATTTACATTTTTTTAATTTTTTTTTTCTTAGAATATTTTAAAAACTGACCGAGCGCAACCAATTACCGACACAACTTTTTCCAAACAACTGAAATTTTACTTAAATGGAATTGCATGCAAAAGCATTGCCAGGTATTGCAAAGAATGATTTTTAAAAAGAGAATTTGAAAAATAAACAGTACGTCAAATTACAGCTGATTGAACAGAAAACCGGCAGCCCAAAATTTAACTGAAATAAATAGAAATTGCTGCTGGTGTTTAATAAATAAAAACAAATAACTAATTATGTATATATAAGGAGAAACAACTACTTATTTGTAGAAATATTTTAAGAGTAAGCTTACTTACTAACGCTTCAACACATTTCACACACTGAACAGACCGTAGAGAATGTGCTCCCATCCTCATTGCATTGAACACAATTGATCAGCTGTACGAATATTAAGTGCCAAAGGAAATAAAATATTTTTTTAATTTTGCGATTTTTATAAATACCGAAGTGAATTATTAAAATAAGTGAAAAATATGTTTAACTAATAATTATATCTCTGTGGGGGGAAAATAGTTATAAGCAACAAGCTTTATATATACCTATAAGCCAATTAACGGATTTATTGTACATTTACTAGCATTACAAGGACACAAAGTCGGCATGAAACTGCCGCTTCAAATACATTTTACATAAATATCACATGCTGTAACTCCAGCTCTAGAGCAATAACAAACTGAAAAATCCTATTATATTGTGTAATTGGCGCGTTTACATACGTGTATATAAGTTTGGATATATGTTCATTTCTCCAAGGCGTTAATTCAAAAATCGGGCTAGAGGATATTCCAAAAAGGACAATGATAAAAGTCGTGAAAAGTGCAAAAAAAAAACACAGTAGAGTTGCATCGTTGCTTTTTAATTGACGTTAAAAACTAGCGTCCACAACGAAAATCACAAATTAAAACACAAGTTGTTCAGTAATTTCGTAAAAAAGTTTGGAAAAAATCTTTAATAAACTTTGTTTTTTCATGCAGTCATTGAAAAATTATTTGTTTCACTCTTAAAAGCCATCATATGCAAAATTCGATGCAACCCTGCGTATAGCATGCGACTTTATGCGTGTGCCTACCTAAACATACACATCGCAGCGGCCTTTTCATATGTTAAACAAAATTCGTGCAAGAAAGTTCGTTAATTATAAGAGCTCCGTAATAAAGAGTGTGTGGCTAGTGCATATATTGAATTAAAAATTATTTTGAAAATAACATAAAGTTAGTGCAAAAATATTCCGATTGTGCTATTTAGTGGCATTTGTGTATTTTCTATTCTATATTAACAAGGCATGGAAATAGTTGAATCAACAACAGGGGTTAGCCAAAAACAGATGAACGAAGCATTAACAGTAGCAACGACGTCGGCAGAGGGCAGTAACGTGAATGTTAGTGTTGGCGGCAATAGTACTGCTGCTGCTGCTGCTACTGCAAATTTAACAGCGGAAACAAGAACAAAGGATATTAATACAACAAAAACTATAACAGCTTCAACAGCTGGATCTACTGATATATTATTGCAAAAAGATATCGATATGGATATTGAAGAAATTTTAACAAAATCCACATTAAAAGCTGACTTTACTAAAGTTGATGATAAAACGCACCAGTCAACTGTAAAGCTGATGTCAACTAATACAGCAACAATACCCATTCAACTGGATAATGATATACCTATAATATCGTTATCCGATAGTGAAGATGTAGTAATTCAACCAACAACAACATCACAAAAGTCTAGCCGTAAACGTAATAGTGTAGGTGGCGCAGCTACAGCAGAGGAGGATCAACAATTTCGTTTGAAAAGACGTAAAATTAAAGTAGCTGGTGCGCCAAAGATGCCCTTGACTGGTAAGTTGATGGGTGTGTGAGTGTGTTTTGTATGAGTAAATACTTAACTACATAATAATGGAAACACGGCAACGTGAAAACGTGTTAAAATTATAAACTTTTACATACATATGTATATATTTGTTTGTACTTTGTAAGCATGTTTGTATAACAGTATTTATTTCATCTGCTAGGTTATGTACGTTACATGAATGATCGTCGCGAGCTGCTACGCAAGGAATTACCCACTAAAACAGCTATTGAGCATACGAAAATTATCGGTGAGGAATGGCAGAAGATGTCAGAGGACAAAAAAGCGCCATATATGAAAGCAGCGGAGGTTGATAAACAACGGTAAGTAGTTGAGTAATAAATAGCTTGTATATGTACATGACGTATGTAATATGTAATAAAAGCAAAATTTTCGACTTGCTGAAACATATGCGCCTATGTATTTACATAACTATGTAAATACATATATATATGCCCTTTAAATGGTTGTCTACATTAGCATGATATATGTATGGTACATATGTATATGTACATAAATGTGTATCTATTTATTTCCTTGATTACCAAATAATATGTAAGCTTGTAAAATACTGCTCGCTATCAAAAGCAGAGCAATAAGTTAGTTTTATATATACCTATGCATATACGTGTATGTATGTATATGAATATACGCACATGTCACTTGTGTATGCATATTTAAAATGTTATTTTGCTAATGAAATTTGTAGTTAAGAATAAGGTAAGGTAATAATAGTATATATGTATGTAAATTTGTATGTACATATACATATATGTATATATGTGATAACATGAATTACCTTCTAATATAAAATCACACGTGTGTATATCTGCGAAGCAGCGAATAATCATTTGCATGAAATAGCAATGTTACTTACATATATATTTACATGAGTTATGTATGTATCTACCAACAGTCATACCTGCATTTAGGAAAATGTATCTGTAATGTTCCTCACAACTGCTTGTATGCACATGTGTCGTAGTACATACATACATATATTTGCAAGAATATACCAGAAATATCAACAACTGGTTAAGCGAGTCAAACCAATAATCAGAGAAGTTCAAAAAATATTTTGGTTGCAAATTGCAAGCCAATTAATTTTTCATTTCTTCATATATATATATATTTGGCGTATATTTTAAATAACATTTATTCAATTTAATTTTATATATACATTATGTAAGCTAAACTACTACCTAACCTTATATACATATGTACTTATGTATAAAAACATTTTTACATACATACATATATATATATATATATATATATATATTACAAAAAAAAATATTTATAAAATCCCTCTAAACTAGCTAAACTTTTACACTTCCAGTTACCTCGCCGAGTTGCATACATTCCTCAAGGAACGTCCCGATGTTTTGGCCTGTGAATTGGCCAAGGATAAGCAAGCGAAAAAGTTGGAACACGGTAAAACCGTGCTCAAGGAGAAATCACAATCTGTGGGTAATATTAAATCGCCAAATAAGGATTCAAATGCCAGCACAACCACGAATAAGGCAGAGAAATCGCGTCGTAGTGCGGATAAGGATAATTCATCGTCATCACCACCACCACCACCACCAGCGGCACCGGCTCTGGCCACGGCCATGGCACAGGCAACCACAACAACAACAATTGAAACAAAACCAAAACGTAAGCGTACACCAACACCACCAAAAACTGTTGATACACATGCTGGCAGCAGCAGCAAAACAAATACATCATCATCATATACAAGCGCTAACAACAGCAGCAACAACACACAGCACAGCACTACATCCTCTAGTAATCATACAACAACAACAGCAACAACAACAAGCACAACAAATCCCAGCAACGCATCAACACTAGTCTCTGCCACAGCGGTTTCAGGTGAAATACCCATCTTTACGAATGAATTCCTAGAACATAATAAAGTATTCGATATGGAATTGCGTACACTGCGAAAAAGCAAAGCTGATTTGGAGCAACAAAATGCCGTCTTGGAGAAACATGTAGAGAATATGAAATTCGGTGTGGAGAAGATGACAAATGAAAATGATGAGCTGGCGGAAAAGAATCGTTTATTGGAATTATATTTGGAAAAATTAAAAACGAAATTGGCGCATGCGCTGTCCGGTTTGGCCATACCAACGCAACCAAATGGCGCCACTACGGATAATATTGAGAAGTATATGGGTGATTTATATAAGATGGCTACGACAAATACGCACGGGCCGGCGAGTTTGAATAAGGCTAAGGATATTATTAGAAAATTAGATTTGCAAATCAATTTGTAAGGTGTGATTTTTTTGTATTTGATACGTACGGGTGTAAGGGACAAAACTTGGCATAAAAAATTGTTTTTGGAATTAAATTAAACTAAAGAATGGATTATTTATGTTGTCTGTTAAATTGTTTTTTTCTTTTTTTGCGCAAAGAATTTGATTTGCTTCTATTGTATTTTTCTTTTAAGGGTTCTGTGTTACTTAAATAACAACTTAAAAACAATTTTAGAATATAACAGCTTAGTTTTATGAATATATTTAATAATAATAAATAATCATTCAATCATATCAGCATTTGTGCGTATGTATAACTAGCGTTAAAATGTAAATTTTATATAATAGCCGTATAAAATCTGCTATTGGGCAGTACGTAAATACCGAACTATGAAGAAAAACAAAATAATACCTATTAGTTTTTAATGTCTAATTTATGATATTTGTTAAGTGATGCAGAAATATGTAGTAATTAAATTTAATTAACTGTTAAAAGCCATGAAAAGCTGAAATCGTCAATTTTCCAGCACATAGAGAAAGCTATTTGCTTGTTGTAGTACCGTTATAATAATTATTTTCCATTCATAAAAGATTACAGTTATTTACTGCTTAGTTTTCTTTGTTTTATTTTTTGGAGAAGCATTAAAAATTAAATAAAATTTGAAAATTGTAATTTGACTAAAATGAAATCTTCCTGTACCATATATGTACATATGTATGTATGCAAACTTAATTTTTATTATTATAACTTTTAAGATTTTCACTCTAAAAATTGGATAAAATTTGATAAATTGCAGTTTCATGAAAATCTAATCTTCCATTATATATATATGTACATATACTCTTTTCTGATTTTATTTTTTATTTATTTTTTTTTTGCAATTCTTATAATAAAAAAGGCGAACTTTTGTTTTGAAAATTAAATAAAATTAGAAAAAATTAAATTTCACTAACGTCTGATCTTCCTGTACTATATATACATACATACATATACATATAACATTTCTTAATTTTCATTATTAAATATATTATTTTTTTATTACTGTAAACTAACTAAAAAAAAACAAAATGTGCGTTTCAAAAATTTGTATAAAATTTGAGAAAGTTGTAATTTCACTAAAATCTTATGTTACCGTAATATATATATATATTTATATATATGTATGTATGTGTAATTAATTTTCTTAATTCTCATTTTCTCGTATTAAAAACAAAAACTTGCATTAGAAATTGAATAAAATTTGAAGAAATGCAGTTTCATGGAAAAAAAAGTTTTCATACTATTTTTTTTTCTCTTTAATTAAAATTTTATATTTTTTTTTTGCAAAATCTCTTTTATGTTGTATTGAATTTTCTTGATTTCTGATTTTTTAGTACTTAAAGACCTCACAATTGATTTTGATACTTGTTGTTGTTATTTTATTTGAAAAATATAAATTTATTAATATGAGAATTAAATAAGAATTTAAAAATATATACTGATTTTTGTTAGATTTTCCCCCGCATTATTTACATGATAGAGGACTATTTGATTATTTCCTTAATTAATCCTTTATATAAAAATAATTAATTAATTTTTTAATTAATAATTAATACATATTTTTAAAGAATTAATTATTACAATAATATTAATTAATAACTTTTTCTGATTATTATTATAAATTAATTAATTACAGTTATTAGTTAATTAATTCTTATTTTTATTAATTAATTATTATTATTATTATTAATTAATTATTATTATTATTAATTAATTATTATTATTATTAATTAATTGTTATTATTAATTAATTATTATTTTTATTATAAATTAATTATTATTATTATTAAAAATTAATTATTATTATTATTTAGGTATTCATTAATTAAAATTATTAATTAATTATTATTATTAATTAATTATTATTAATTAATTAATTGTGATTATCATTAATTAATTATGTTTATTATTAATTATTATTATTGTTAATTACTTATTATTATTATTGAAAGTTAATTATTAATTTAAGTATTCTTATAGTTATTAATTATATTTCTCCATATTATAACTAATTATTATAATTATCATTTAAAAAGTCGTCATTCATTAAGAAACATTCCCTCATCATATAATTAAATAAATCCAGAAATAAGAGTGAGTTCTGATAAAATTATAAAATAATTAGATATTGATAATAAATTTAAAAATATATAAAAAAGTTCAAATAATTAACGTTTTTTTTTTCTTGATGAAGGGTAAAAAGGATATTAACAGCCATCACATCATTCCATTTGACGGCGTAACTGACACTGCGAAAATAACTGTATATTGAGATGCTATAAATCTTTCATTTCAAACCTTCACCCCGGTTGAACTCTAATATTTTTTTTTTGAAGTTTAAATGTGGAGTTAGGTTAGGTTTAATTGGTTCAACTGTGGCGGGTTTCACATAGACGTTACCAGATCTATAATGTTACCAGATCCGCCACATATCAAAAAAAAAAAACTATTCACTTAAACGGCTTAGGGTTTTAAGAATGCACCCGCGGTAAGGCAGGATAATCATAACAGGTGAAATCAATTAGTTAATGCGGCAGGGGCACTGCCAAATCCTTTTCATGACATTATAACTGAAAGGGAAACAAATTCGGATGCCAAGTTCAGCTTACGGGCTGAGAGGAGCTCATTTTCGTAACAAAGGAAGGAAGGAAGGAAAGCGAACTTCCTTGTAAGTGGTCTTCAGCTGAACAGACGCACAGCTTGGCGAACGCTGGGCTAGTACCAGGTCGTAGGTGATTACAAAAACCTTCCTGCTTCCTCCTTTGGCTTGCAGTAAATCAAAGAAGCAAGAAGAAAGGAGAGTAGCACTCGCCGAGAATGGATGCTCTAACTGCAGTCTGATTGAAAGTCTAGTTAGAGCCTTTAGTACAGAAGATGAAGATTTAGAAATTTTCAATGGCTTGTATACTTTTGCGAGAAGAGAACTTAACGTAGTGCAGTTTGGTCGTCTTATCTTTAACAACTCGAGCGAGCAATCGAGCACTAAATACACCAACTTTCCGGATTTGTAATGGGTTTTTGCCATAGAGGCTCTTACGCGGTCACACGGCAACGATAAAAGGCAAATAGAAGGATTTACTTATAGCAAGACGATACGTTGTAATAAATGGAATTTTCAGATAATTTTCCATTCGTAGCTGTGATTTCATACTTCTCCGTGATCGGTCTTTACACCAGAATGACTTGGAATTTTTATCGGTAAGTCTTCTTTCTCCCCATTTGTCGTTAGCTGACAGAAGATCCTGAAGTTTTTCCATGCCCTTACTGCACTTCTTGTGCTCCAGCAGGCCTTATTGGGATGCCAACAGCTCATACTACGTAAGTGGTGCTTCCAGAAGTTTGGAGTTTGATTTCTTTATTGCTAGTAAAAGTTCTTAGTCTTTCACTGGTTTCTCTCCCCGAATTTGGCTCTCATATCCATAGTTGTGTCCAATTTTAACTCGGTGTTCTAAACCTACTAAACAGACGATGAATTTGAAAAGCCTAGCGAGAACCGAGTAATACTAATACAATTAAGGTTTAGATACCTGCGTGCAATAAGTTTCCGCACCGTACTAACCACCTTGCATACCCATCAAAGCCCACTGATCCAAAATCTCTTCCCCTCTGTTGTGAACCCATCTAAACGGCTTGTTTCTTGAATCTCACGTTAAATGATCCCGACGAAAACAACACCGCAATCCACATCATCTTTAAAAAGTTTGCTGGGTTTTGTCTGTAACCCACCGTCTTTTGCTTCAAAAGATGTCCTCTATGGTAGTCGTCAGAAGCTTCTCGAAAGCCAGGCGCCGAACAATTGAGATTGGGGAAATTGTATACCATGATCCATTCCGATTTTTACACGGAAGTAGCTGTAATTGTGCTTTTAAGAAGCAAGAGTTCAGAACGCTCTAAATGCTGAGTAATATCCACTTAGTGCTAAATACTAGGGCGGGAGAATAGCACACTTTAATACCCTAGAGCTCGTCTTAGTTGTGGAAGATATGAGAGCCAAGTTGCTAAAGCCTCGGTCTCTCAAGGTAGGATATTCCACATGGGTTTATTATTTCCAGCTCCTCCAATATGCGTTAGTTTTGACTACTGATCTCACGACAAGCGTACGAATTGGAAAGTATCCAGTCAGCAGTCCTACCAAAAGCAATAGGTGTGCCTTTTTGAGTTTTGTTGCTTGACGGTCTTCCGCGATTGACCTCAGGCTAGAAGGAGTTTGCAATCACGCACGTCATGGTATTTGATATCGACTTAATGGTGTTCGTAGTTTGACGCACGTCAGCTTTACTGTTGGAACTTAGTTGGAGCATGCTTAATTAGCCTTAAACGTATCATAAATGTATTTTAAGTCGGGTTAGTCGAAAGCTCTCAAAGTAAATGCTGACATCTTCCGTCTTTCTCGATAAACACCAGGACTTACCACTCACTCAAACTCAACGAACTATAGACCAACTGCAAGGTACTCCTGGTGCAACAGAAAGAGCGAAAAGCTTGCGGAATATTCTTCAGTTTCTCCAAACCCGCCAACCAAGTTACAGCCAGATTACTCGGGTCTCATGAGGCAGTTGACTACTTTCAATTATACCGCAGCAGCATACCACTCTGAAGGTTTCCAGTGCCTATTGTACTGCTCTCAAGTACATTCAGCAACGCACCGACCAAAGCTGATGCAACCGTGTGAAAATAATTGTGCGACACGCATCCCTCAGTGCAGAAAACAGATTGCATTGCATAACTACGATGACGAAGAATGAGGAAAGCCAGCAAATCAAAGTAATAATGGAAAGACAAGATTTGCTGAGCAACTGCAACAATAAATGCCGCGGCACATTTACACCACACTCGGCGTAAAATACAATCCAACCGGAGGTCGGTAGTTCGTCTGTCACCCCATCGATACACCGCAGCAGCAGTTCGATTAAGCTCAGTTAGTGGTGGCGCACGCGACATCATTATTGACTTGGCGCGATTGATGCGAGCATACAGCATCCCACCCCAGACAAGTTTGTTTATGCACTTGGCAGAGTATAATGTATGTGCTGAGGGTAGCGTGGTTAGTGATTTTATGCCTCAAAACTAATAAAGTCTTTTCCGGCGCAAATGACACTTCTCACTTTGGCGGCTTTCCCATTTATGTGCATATTTTTAGCTCACTCTTTCTCTTTCCCTCCTTCCCCATGCGTTCTCTAACTAATTCCTTTGTTAGGAAATCTCTAATTATGTACGAGGTGTTGTTTCTACTAATCTGTGCCAGCCCTCGCCGTCACTTGGAATATCAAGCATCAGATCTGCTCCTTTACAATGATCGGCGTCTTGCAGGGAGGGTTAGGTTTTCCCTTTGAGGGTGACTCATTTCGATTAGTAATAATGCAGCATAAAAATATTAACTGCTGTTGTTGTTTCTATTATCTGGAAGTTAATTCGAGCTCTTGGTAAACATTTTGTGGTTCTTAAGTCAGCTTTAGTACAAAAGTCGATAATTTATGAAAGAAAATCGACTTTTTAATGAATTAAACTTATTGAATTTCATCCGTTAACTTAGAGAAACCTACGCAGTTACTAGAGTGGGTAGCAGAAATAATAATGGATCACACTCGCTGGGAATTCCCACAAGCTAGAGACATAAACCATTGATTTGAAGACCGGTTTCTTGCTCTGAAGTCTGGGTCAGTCTGGGTCGTTGCATTTTTCATATCTAGCCGACTCAACTCTGTTCCACAGTCCGACTATGCTTATCAATCTCGATAAAGTCTTGTTAGCTGCCCACTTAAAAGGAAGAAAGATTAGAGTTCGAGTCTCAACAATAACCCAGGACGCCTGCTGGATCACACTTGGCCTGGATTAGTTTGGTCTTAATAAGACCAGCTGCATTATCAAAATTTTCTCACACGTAAGCTTCGCAATCCAATCATTGCAATTCTCTGATAAACCTCATTGGATTAATAGCCTTGACGTCAGCTATACTTGGAAGGCCATCCAGCAAAATGCTGGCAAAATTATAAAATTTCAGCACAACTCAAAAAAGGATCTCTCATCCGAGGCTGTTATCTCCTTTCATTGTCGCTAATTTCTAAGTTGATTGTCCCAAACCCAGCGTACAATCTCACTACCCGAGTAGACTTACATTTCGGACTCATTTTGAAAGCGAGCCCATTGTTTCAAGAAAGACGCCTGCTTGTAGATGCACCTTTGTTATGCAGAGGCTGCAATAAGACTTCGTTTAATCTAAGCCCAAACCGTTGTTGCGTGAAACTCTCTCTTTTTTAACAGTGTCCAAGGCTCCACACAGGCTGGTTAAGTCTTCTCGTACAAGGGGTTCTCTTGATTTTAGGTTACCGTCTGTTCTCAATGGCAAAGTCAATAAATCCCTGACGTGCTGTTATTAGCTCGGTTATAAAGAGTAATAAGAAAAACCATCAAAGCTGGGCAGACTCATGAGAGTTGGTCATGTATTTTCGGCAAGGAGCTCCATGTCAATCAGCATATCGTCATAATAATTCTCATTACCTTGGGCATGTCTCCTTTTTTAAGAAATACATTCTTCATGATCCCTTCCTGTTCCATTTCAGACAGATTTGCAGCAAGTCATAGTTATATTCCACATGGCAAAAGGCATATCAGTGCGTCCTTTAGTTAGAAAAAACTTACAGTTTTCCTCGATGTCTCCATGACTCTAAGACCCAGCTGAGAGATAATCTCTTCTGTTTTGCCATCTCTTGCAGAGTTCGGCCAAAGTGCAACATAAGTTTAGTGTAAACGAGCTCAGTGCTGTTATTGCTCTTTAGCTGCCACTGAAAACAAAGACGTCCGTAACTTTGAAGCTGGCTTTAAATCCAGCAGTAAATCATGGTACTTCAGTCCAATCTCTTACCATCAGTTCTTTTGCAGTTAAAGAGGGCAGTAAGAGCAGGTTTTTTGTAGCCGAACCCCGTAGCTTCTTCAGTTTGATATCTTATTTAAAATCCCGCCTAGAAATTAGGTCTTCGTCGACAGGCTCAGAAGTGGACCAGGCAGAGTCGACTGATTAATAGCAGCAATCTTCTCTTTTCTTGTGAGTAGCGCTAGTTTCATCTTATTTAAGTTGACGCAGAGTGCGCAACGGATAGCCGAAGACGATACACTTCGTAGTGCATCAGGTCTTGTGGGAGCTTGTCTGTATATGCTGAAGACAATTATTCTACTAATCCAGGTATACGTTCCTGTTAAAAACGAGACTTTCTAGTGTAATAGAGATGAAAATTTCAGTCCTAGGGATACCTCTGCTGAGGTATCTGGATATTTGAAACCTTTCCAGGTTCGGTTAAGGCGTAGTTGATTGATATCAACACCCAAGAGATCCAATGAATCTTCAATTGCATTCTGTGGAAGATTGTTAGAGCTCCCACTATGCCTAGAAAGACAAAAATACCAAATTCCTCGTTATAGAAAGCTCTTTTAATGAAGGAGGTCGGTTTTCTGCCGTAGCCACAGAGATTTTGTTTTGCAGGACTAAATTCTAGGGTCTTTTTTTATCGGATATAGTCGTTACCACGCCCCCGCTGACTATTTATTGGTTATCTGGGTATATTGTGTTCGAGGCGGCTTAGTATAAACTGCAGGTTCTCTATTCCTTGGATATACTAAGCGTCTCAGCGACTCATAAGCTGTTTCTCCTAAATTTTTCAACGTAGCCGTGTTTCATGTTGTTCCAAGGTTGTTTTAAGGCTTACAAAGAGAAATACCATACTCTCATTCGACGCTGTTCCACGATTTGGTAAGTGATTAATGGGGAAGTTACTAGTTGTAAAGCCACACTTTAAGTGTGTTGGCTTTGGGCTTTAAGCGGGCGGTAGGGCTCTTTACTTTTCGATTCTAAAAAAAACTTAGCACTCAATCTTCGCCATACTTGAATTTTTCAACCGCTTGCTTGCCAGGCTCGCCATTTCTGGTGTTTCGCCAGGCGAGTCGCACAGAAGATGGCTAACAATATCCTCCTCTCGAATTCAGTCATCATTAAAGCTCTCTTACTCGTCATCACAGGTCCTCTCTTACTTGTTTTTCTTGTGTTTCACTTATGCCAGCTGAATCAGTATTCCCTTTAGGAAACCAGTCATCCCAGGGCCACTCTTAAACTTAAAAAATATAAAAAATATCATATGAAATTAATTTCAATTCAAATTTGAATCTTCCACCTCCAACAACACAACACAACCACATCTTGAGCATAATACAATTCACCAAACTCCAATGAGCTCCACCGCCGTGGTGAGTAACGGCATCATGTAGACACAAAAAACCCCAAAGTGTCTGCTTTATAAACATATACAAACATTCCACTTAAGTACACCGTCTACCATTATTTAGCATCCACTTTGCTTTCCAATGTACTTCGCGCACACAGAGAATTACCGGTCGGTTACCGGCCAAGTTAACTCACAGTCAACACAGCCACCCAACCAAGAATCATCATCCACAAAATCCAACGCCACTGACTGTATGGCAAATAACAACAAGACACATACATGCTTGCTCACATACATGCATATGTACGTAGCATGGAACCTCCACTAGTATGTGCATCCGTGTCTGTTTTCTATGGTGTGGTATAGTATTCGTGGTAACTTCTCCGAGACCGAATGGTTGGTTGCCATTCACTTTGCCATCACAGAGAGTTTTAGTGACGAGTTGATGTTGGCGAGCGACGCGTGTTTATGTTTTTTAACGGAAATCGAGTGTGTTCGTGTGTCGCCACTAAACTAACGAACGCGTGTGAGCTTACAGCGTCATAAAGTTTCGTTTAGTATTTTTCGCGAATTAATAGTGAACGGAAGTCGAAAAAGTTCTTAATAGTGTGTGAGCGCGGCGGATGCGGATGCGGATGTATTAAGAAAGTTGTAATAAACTAGAAAGTAAATAGAAATGTAAAAGGTAAAAGGAAAGGAAGCTGTGGGCAGAATATTCGTGCATCCGTAAATCCATGCGTGTAGATGAACATATGTATGTATGCATTAAGTACACGTTGTTGTTGCACACATACGTTCGGTCGGCTGTCGTTAAATTCGCGCTTCCTCGAAATTTCGCTGGCGCTTGAATTCGATTTGCATAAATAAATGAAAAAAAAGAAGAAGGGATCACAAAAATATACAAAAATAAAAATTACTGTAGATTTTTGTTAAAAAAAAATGTGTTAAAAACCTATTGGTAAGCATTTCAACACAAATTGTGCAGGTGAAGTGTGTATAAAATGAAATGGATGTACTCGTATGTACATATGTGACGGCAAAGGTGTAGATAGAGACGCATTCGTGATAAAATTGTATACTGCAAAAATAGTAAAAGAGCGTGTGGATGTACATTCGTGTGTATGTGTACACAGTCCCACAGGACGATTACGACGAGTGAGGTGTTTGAAACAATAACAACAAAAGCTATGATAAAAATAGTGTAAAGTGCATAGATACGGAAGAGATGTTGCTACTGAGTTTCTAAAATTATTTTTTTAAAGAGAACAGCAACAACAACAACACGGAAACAGCAGTAGTAGCCACGATACGAAGCAACAGCAACAATCTATTCGTAAAAAAGAAATCCAAGAAATCCCGAAATTAATTGTTTTAAAATTAAATAAAGTTTTTATAAATTAAATAAAGTAAATAAAAATTTTACAATATAAATTAAAACCAAACTAAAATTAAATTAAGTTAAAATAAATGAATTAATAACCATAAATTAATTTGAAATAAATTAAATTAAAATAAAATAATTCTAAAAACTTGAAATGAAATAAATTATATAATATTTAGTGAAATTAAAAAAAAAAATTAAAAGCTATTTAAACTAAGCTATATTAATTTAAGTTGAAATATATTATATTAAATTATATTTTTAATGAAATAAATTATATTAATAAATAAAATAAATAACCTTAAATAAGTTGAAATAAATTATATTAAATATAAATTAATTATTGACATTGAATTTAAATTAATTGCAACCAAATTTAATAATTAATTAAAAAAATATTCAAAATTATTTTGATTTGTGTAAAATTTTAGTTTCTTATTAAAATAAATCCTTTTAAACAAAATTTAATTCATATAAAATACAACTAAATTAAATTAATATATATTAGACTAAATTAAATAAATAACAAAAATAAACTAATATGAAATGTATTATAACCTATTATCAAATGTATTTAAAATTAAAATGAACTGCATTAAAGTAAATTAATTATTAAAGTTAAATTAAGTTTAATAAAAATTAACTCAAATTAAAATTATGTTAATTTATATAAGATCATATTATTTTAACTAAAATAAATTGTTTTTTGTACAATTAAAATTAAAGTAAAACAAAATTAAATTAATATCAACTAAATTAAATTAAAACCAATTAATAATAATAAATTGAAAGGAAAATATCTTAATCAATTTAAATTAAATTGTGTGAAATGAAATTAAAGTAATAAACACAATAAAATGAGCTAAAATGTATTAAAAATAAATTAAATATTGAAATAAAAATTGAATCTAATTAAATTAGTATAAATTAGATTAATTTAAATTCGAAAATGTTACATTTTTTCAAAATAATAATAATTTAAATAAAAAAAATTATTGCAAGATTAGAGAAATAAAAATGATTTTAAAACGTCTTAATAATAATATATAGGATTAAAATAAGTGTAAATCAAATTAAATACAAAAGAAACTATTATAAATTAGACTAAACTAAATAAAAATAAATTAAATTAAATTCCATTATTACTTTAAATTAATTATGTTAAAAAAGTTTAATTAATGAATAGAAGTAAATAAATTGCAAATTAATTAAGTAAATTAAAATTAAATAAATTTAACTTTAAAAACAATTAAACTAATATAAATTAACAAGTAATAAAAAATTAAAATAATTTATATTTTTTATGAATTAAATTAGATTAAAGAAACAATTACATGAAATAAAAAAAATAAAATGAAATCAATTAAATAATTAATTTGAATTAAATAAATTAAATTAAATAAAAATTATACAAATTATGAATATAAATTATAAAAAAAATTGTATAAAATAAAATAAATCATATACATTCAAAAAAAAATTTTATAAAAATGGTTTTGATTATATGCAAGAAAAAAAATAAAATAAAATAAAAATATAACTAAATGAAAATAAACTAAAAAAAAAAGGAATATAATAAAATAAAAAATAAAAGAAAATTGAATTAAAAAAAAAAACAAAGCAAAAGGTAATGAAAGAATAATTAATAATATAAAGAAATAATATAAAACAAATAATATAAAAGCTTAAATAATTTAAAATAGCATAATATAATGAAATTGAAAAAAATCTATAGAATAAAATCAAATGAATTAAAACAAAACTTAATGTTATAAAATATAAAATAAGACTGAAATACAATAAAAATATATCTATTTGAAGTAAAATAAATAAAATATAATAAAAAAATATTAAATTAATGAAATAAAATAACATCAAATAAATTAAAATGCTAAAAAATAAAATATTTACTACTAATTATTTTTTTTTACTTTCGTTCTTTTTTTTTTTTGAATACTCTTTGCTTATACAAAGTCTCCTAAATGCACACAGTCAAATTGCTTACAGGTGTGGAAGTGACATACACATATACTTATTAAAAGATATATATAAATACAAATGTTTGTCCAAACTACATAAATATTTGCTTATGTGATTCCACTTTCTCATTCAATAACCATCATTCAAATGCATTTAACCAACGCTGTTCCATTTTCGGCGTTGACATTTATGCATACATATGAAAGTTGGTGGTGTTTTTGTGCCAGTTTTCGTGTACTCTATTTTTTGTAGTGCAGGTGAAATGTGGAGAGTTGAAAATTATTAATAAGCATGATGTATGTACATATGTATGTTAAATGAAGGTGTGTGCTAACTATTACTTAGAAGCTACTGGGAATTAGCTTCATCAAGTAGCTTTATACATACATACATATGTACATAAGCACGAGTATGTATGTATAGTTATTTCATGTACCTTTGTTAATGGAAAAAATTAAAATAAATTGTGAAAATATGTTTTGTGTAACTGGCGCAAGTTAACTTATGTATATATATACATACACATATATATATGTTTGTATGTCCACTGTACGCAAACTAACAAGTGTTACATACTGTTAATCTAAAAAGTGATGACTTCACATGCGGGTGGTGTGTTGATAAAGTGCGTTGACAATACAAACAATAAAAAAATTATTATATATTTACTGTCATTAAAATAAATAGAAGACTAAAACAACAACAAAAAATATATGCAATAAAATCAATAACTATTGGCGATAATAATATAGCAGAAGTAGCAGGCACAAAAAAGCAAAAAAAAAGTAATGGAAATCAAAATAAAATAAAAAATATAAAAATAATAGTATATGCATTTATTTTATATATTCTGCTTGAATTTCACAGACTGATACCCAGCTGTTGGCTGATAATACTTTGAATAATATGAGCTATATTGAATTAGAATAGGACAGGTGAACGGTGCTTTGAGATTAATGCAAAAAAGTGTATAAACACGCGTAGATAAACACAAGCATATAAAATACACAGACATATGTATGTAATTGACTTAAAAAATATATGTGGAAGTAATCTGAACTTGCATTCATCTGCGATATTGCGGAAACTTGCAAGGTGGAGAGACAATCGATATCAAAACTAAGTTTGGGCTAACGAAGAAATTGAACAGTTAAGCATTTACATCTATGAGATATGCAAACCTCACAATCTATAAATTAGTTCTAGTCACTCCCGATTTCACAGTTTAAAAGTAGCCCAGAAGAAGCGCACCTTGATAAACCCCTCGAGGGTCGCACTTATTTCACTAATGTTCAAAAATAAATAATTGAAAGAGCGCTTAAGCCGCCATTTCCTACTCATACATAATCTTCAAGTTGCTTTGAAAAGCACTAAAACTCAGGTTTACTGACACTCTCATAATCATATCGAGATGCATACAGCTTGCTGAACACCCCACCTCGCCAATCACACATTCTGCTCATCATTATGTTCTTTTTCGCTGCATTCCCTTTTATTCACCATCTGAAATATACTTCAAAGGGGAAAAATAGTTGATCTGCTGGTTTAAACTCACAAGCGCCTTTATTTCTAATTACCGAAATGATCAGCGTCAACGTACAATTTATCGAACCTAGAAGAGTTGTTATCGATTTTTTTGCTGTTGTGATTAATTTGTGTATTCCCAACATATCCATATATATTTGCTTGTCATAATGTTAAATTTCAACGAAAAGTGATAAATTAATAACATGCGTACGTACAATACATAAATGTATATATGTATATACATGCATATAACAAATAATTATATTTTATTTTAATGATAAATTTTGTTCAGCTGAGGCAATGCAAAACTTTAAACAAATGTTATTAGTTCATATCTGGAGCTTCAAGCGAAAGTTTGAGTCGTTGAATTTAAAGCAAAATATTCGCGATAAAATTAAATATTAAATATTTTTATGCTTACTTAGAGTCCGCAACAACAATGTGGTATCAATAAATGAGAAAATAATTAATATCGCTGTATGTTTATTTTTTCGTTGGACATACATTTCTGTGCACATGAGTGTAAATATTTATATTAATTATTCATAAATAAACTGATACATATATTTGTATGTGTGTAAAAGCTGTTAACAGCACAAAATAAATAAGAATCAAGAAGTAATAAATAAACCAGCAAACAAATGCGAACAGCTGTTATTAGTCAGCTAGTGTTATGTGTTAAAGTTTTTCTTATTATTTTAATATTTAAGGAAAAAGTTTTAGTAAATAAAATAAAATAAAATAAAATTAAAGAAATTAAATAAAATCAAACTAAATATAATAAAATAAATAAAAAATGAAATAAAATAAAATAAAATAAAATAAAATAAAATAAAATAAAATAAAATAAAATAAAATAAAATAAAATAAAATAAAATAAAATAAAATAAAATAAAATGAAATAAAAAAACGAAATAAAATAAAACTAAATTAAATTAAATAAATTATAATAATATAAAATAAATTCAAGTAAAATAAATAACATGAAACAAAATTTAACAAGATAAGAATATCATAAAAAAATACAAAAATCAAAATTATATAAAATAAAATAAAACTAAATAAAATAAGAAAAGATAAAAGAACATAAAATTAAATAAATTAAACAATATAAAATAAATTTAAAAAAATAAAATAAAATAAAATAAAATATAAATAAAGTAAAACTAAATAAAACTAAATTAAATACGATAAAATAAAAACCAAAGTGAAATCAAAAAAATTAAAAAGGAGAAAGTAACATATAACAGAACATATAAACCGTACTGGAATGTGTACTGTGTGAAAAGTTCTTTAAACAAAAATGTATTAAAAAAAATATTTACAATAAAACTGCTTGCGTGCTTCTAAGTTGAAAACTAAATTGTTTGCTAAAACGTCGTTTTGTAATGGGTATTGTTAATGCTTTTGAATATTAATCTGTGCAATTAGTTTTCAAACCGAAGAGCCCTCATTAGCGCTATAAGAACTGGAAATTAATTTATGCAAAAGAAGTTTGTTTATTGATAAATTACTACTATTGAGCAGCTATTTATATAATGTACATACAAATTGACAAGGGTAAAATTTGTTTTTAAATGCAATAGAAAAAAATAGATAAAATTCTTAACTGCAAAAAACGGTGCAAGAAATAAATACACCTTGTACTCGTATGTGTTGTTGTTATATCTGACAATAAATACGTAATAAATTTGCTTAGAATATAAAACTTTGCAGTTGTAATAATTCAAAGTGTGTTGTTGTTGTTGCTTGTTGTGTTAGAAACATATTGTATATTTTGTGCTAATAAATATTTATATTAAATTTTTTCTTCAATTCTGCAGTTGCCCATAATTTCAACGAAGAAGAAAAAAAAAACAAAAAACAATATAAAATAAATAAATATTTATTATAGAAAAGAGTTCTATAGAAAGGAAAGGACCATTATAGAAAAAGCTTAATTCATTGAGCATATTAATGGCGCCAGTGGTAATTTTAGTGGTGTTTTTGTATAATATGCAAATAATATGTTAAACAATGTATTAAATATTAATTGCAAAAACAAGAAGTTCAGCACAAGAAAGCAGAGCTGCGAAAGAAGTAATTTAAAAAATGTTTAACAAAATGTGGTTTTCTTAATCAAAAAGCAAAGTTGAAAAAGTTGAAAATGTAAAAATATGCAGAAAAAAATTAATAAATTATTAAAAAAACCACAAAAATATTTATGAAAATAAATAAATTCAACATAAAAATATAAGAAAAAACAAAATAAATAATATATTAAAAAGAAAAACAAAAATATAGAATAAAAGAAATAATTTATAAAAAAAAATTAACTTAAAATAGCTTTATTTTTGTGGAAGTGTTGCAAATACAAAACAAACACATATAATAAAAAAAATTAACTTAAAACAAATTTAATGTTAAAGATGTTTTAAATGTTTTTATGAAAGCTTAAGAGTTGGAAAATTATCAATAAAAATAAATGAAAAAGTTTAATCTTTTAAAAATTTGAGTCTAGAGTGAATGTAGAATAAAATGAAATGTGCAAAAAGTTGTAAATAAATAATTAATAGTAAGTCTTTAAAGAAAAAAAAATATAAAAATAAAAAATGTGTTACAAAATAATATGATTTTTATAAAAATTAATAAATAAAATAGTGTATAATAATAGTAATCGAATTGATATACAAATAAATGCAAAAATTAATTAGAACATAATTAAAAAAATAATAAAAAAAAATAATTAAAAAATAATAAAAAAAAAAAAAATAAAAAAACTTAATAAAAAAAATATTAAAAAAATTAATGATCAATAATTAATTAAATGTTATTTGTCAACTATAATTAATTAACTGTGCTACAAAAATAAGTATATGTACATGGGCATACATATATTTGTGTAAAAATGTATTGCCATAAAATCAATAAAGCGTCTCATAATCTTTAACAAAAAGTGAAAAAGAAAACAACAACAACAACAAAATCGCATCCAAACAACTTAAATAGCCACTTCAACCGCTCCACGCACCAAATCAAAGAAAACAATAATCGGCGCTTAAACGGCTTAAGGTGAAGTGATTGAACTCCAGTATCTATTTTTAAACAAACATTAAATAAAAATTTGCGTAAAGTTTATCCACACAAAAAACATATTTATATATTTATGCATAGATACAGCCAGCACCGACAACAGATTTTCCGCCAACGAATTGGAAAATCCATAAAAACGACATAAATCCACTCAACTCAACTCACACCGAGCCATCGGCATAAAATCCATATGAGCTAAGCTATTGCAAAAGCATAACAACAGCAACAACAATCCCGTCACATACACGTAACACTTGAAAGGAGAGCATTAAAAATATATATATAAGAACAACAACTACTTTGTGTAATCTCAAAAAAAAAAATTAAAAAATAAAAAAAAAAAATAAAAAAAATTCAAAACAAAAAAAAAAACAACCACAAAAATACTCAACACACAGCATCCAGCCTGATAAAAAGTAAGCTACATATAACTCGAACCTTCTCGGCATTCAGCCGCTCGAACAACACCTCATTCTCAGCAAAAGAAATGAGCGCATAAAGTGTATCCTTGCTGAGTATTTGTTTATCCTGTTCAATCCAATAAACAGTCATAAAACCAGTTATATGCTACATACAGGCACGTTTAACAAGTGCCACAGTAAGGTAAAACGGCAGAATAGTTGCTACAAGGAGAGCCAGGATACTTGGTGAACAAGTGTTTAGAGTAGCGAAGGCAACAAAGTGAGCACGTGAGTGAGTAGCAGTGGTGAACACAAAAAATTGCTTTGTGGATGTTAAGAGCGCTGAGTAACAGGAGAGAGAGGTAGAGAGAATACAGCCAGCACAACGTTAGCACAGCGAGAGCGGGACAATATCCTTGTGAAAAGAGAAAAGAAAAACAACAGCAAAAAACAGCTTCAAGATGGGACGTCGCTCTTTTAATCGCGTTTGCGCTATAAGTTATCCAAGTCGTGTTGAGGGTTGGCTAGATGTTTGTGGTGAGTATATGAAATAATTTTATTAGGTATAATTAAGTTAAATTTAAAGTGATAGACTATTTTTAGCTGGCTGTAGCTAAAGAATGGGTCAAATGGGTTGTGGTTTATCGATTTTTTTTTGTTATGAAAATACTTTGAAGAGATTTATCTTCGATTCGCCGTTCTATTGGCGCATATTTAAAGCTCAGAAGAGGTTTTCGACTGGCTAAAAATGTACTCAGATGTGCAGAAAACCGTTTCCCAATGTGAAAGAGGCTTAGCACAGATGCTCAGAACACCTACTCTGAGGATGGAAAGATCCAGTCAGCCAGAGAACCTTCACCCCATCGAGAAGAACGGATTGAGCTCTTAATTGAAAGTTCGAGGTCCTCCACAACCCGCTCGGGCGAACTCCTGCCTTTCATCTTCAATCATTTAGCTTCCTTTTTCTCATAAACAGACACAGGAGAGATTTTTTTTAGTTGCTTGAAGCTAGAGAAAGGGTCAGGTAGGTATGGAAGCGCTTTGGGGAGATTTATCTCTGATGTGTAGATCTAATGGAGCATAATTAAGGCTTAGAAAAGGTAAGAATCTGCATTCAGCGGGCCAAAAATGTACCCAGACGTTTAGGAAACCGTTTCCCAGTGCGAACGAGGCTTACCACAGACGTTCAGAGATACGCTTCCCAGTTTTATAAAAGAATTTGACATACTACAATCGCAGCCGGTCAGCCAGAGAACCTCCACCGTGTCGAGAAGAACGGATTGAGCTCTTAACTGAGAGTTTAAATCCCTCCAAAATCCTATCCGGCAAACTCCTGCCTTTCATCCACAATCAGCTAGCTTCCCTTATGCCACAAAAGTACACGCATTCAATCCTCATTAAGGAATATTATTGGAAATACTTAATGAAATGCATTTCAATCCTTAATCGCACCGCATATGTGTTTAATACTTACATGGATTGATCTGAATGTCAAATAAACACCACTTGAAATTCAGTCTCTTTTTGTGTTATCTCGTTGGAACAACAAAACATTTTGGTTTGGGTACGTAAAATATTTACAAAATATTTTTTATTCACTTAAGCGCAGTTCAGAAAGGGATGAATTCACTAAGATGTGCATAAGAGAGGACTAAATGAGGAAGAAGAATGAACATACGAAATACGAATGAGGCATACAATATTGTGACGGCCTTCTTTCTGTGGACGACCATGTATGGTGGTGGCAGTGGGTGGGAGGGTGCCAGTTATGGCGTCATTGCAATAAATTAAGCATCAGACTAAAGTGAAGCAAGAAACAACAGAATCCGTACGTTTACAACTGTTCGTGATGTTGCATTAAAATGTGCAAATTAAGTGAGAAAAAGAAAAGAAAGAAGAAGAGCAACAATCCGAGGAAAGGCAGTCAGTTGGAAACAACAGTGATGCTCATACATATGACAGATACATAACAAGCATGTTGTCCTTAAAAGGATTTAGCAAATGGCTGAATTGAAAAAAGAGAAAAAATATAAGAAATAAAAAGAAAAATCACATTGAAAATTGACAAGGTTGCTTTGAAGGCCATTTTTGCAAGTAATATTGTGAAACTGCACAAGGAAATTTATATTTTTGTTAGTGATGAAGGTCCTTGTTTTGCATTTAGCTATTATGCACATTAAAAATGTTACCTCACACACATTACTGTAACTTTTTCAAGCCCACAAACCCACTCTTAACGAACTAAATATGCCAAAGTTAGGTTGAACGAAAGAATATATGTGTGATGATTAAAAGGCAATTGCGTCATCCAGAACCGTCTAAGCTATTCAAATATGGTTGTCAAATTTGAAAAAGGCTCTCTTCAAAATATGGTTGCACGAAAGGAACGCTGAAGATTCAAATCTATAAGAACGTAGACCGAAAGATTGCAAGATAAGCTTCCTAAATATCACATACAAAGTCTCATCGAATGTGATAAAATATCCGCCAGATATTCCCTTATGCTTCAAATCCTTGAAAAGCAAAGACTCACGTCATTTCTTCGTCGATTTCAAAGCAATGCCAACAAGGAACTATCTCAACGTCGCTGTGGCTGAGCTTAGTATACTTGTGAAACCGAGAGACTGATTTGAGCCAAGGCTGCAGTGCCTGTGCAGACAGCACAATCTTCGACAAGACCATGCAACTGCTTAATATGAACATCTTTGGAGCAACAATCGCTCAATTAGTTCATAATTCTTCAGACTGAACGACAAATCGAGGTGAATGGATCTGGACCGGTGTGGAGGCCGAATTATCTCTTGTCATTAAACCAAATGGCAGAGTACTCCAGCGGCTGGTGCCTGTGCAGACAGCACAATCTTCGACAAGACTATGCAACTGCTTAATATGAAAATCTTTGGAGCAGCAATCACTCAATTAGTTCATAATTCTTCAGACTGAACGACAAATCGAGGTGACTGGATCTGGACCGGTGTGGAGGCCGAATTTCCTTGCCATTAAACCAAATGGCAGAGTACTCCAGCGGCTGGAGTCCCACGTCATTATTCCTAGCCATAACCTCGAAAATGTGCACATTTTTGTCTACCAAAAGAACTGTATTTACACCAATAAGCCGTAAAATCTAGCACAGAATCATTCTCACCAATAGGTTCTACTTGAGATAGAGTTGGCAATGGAGAAGTAAAGTATTCTCTCGATGTATAAAGATCTATCTCTTAAAGTCACTCACTTGCCAAACTGCGAAAAGGAGAAGCAACTGGCGAGATACTTAAGAATAGAAGAAGTAAAAAATTAAAGAAATAAAAAGAAAAAACACAAAAATTAGCATCAGTTAAATATGAGAGTCTTATAACTTATAACACATATCGTAGAGTCTACAATAGATCCAGAATAGGCTCGTGCGGGAAACTCTCAATTGTTCATCCAAAGCTACATAGATTACTGTGTTTCCGAGATATCATTTTCTCCACTATCATGGGAGAACTGAATGGCACAAAGTCAGTGCAGGAAATGTCCACTTCATTTCTTTACGGAGGGAAAGAAGTTTGATGTAAATTTCAACGATCTTACGGTGACTCAAGCCATTTGTAGTGCTTTCAAGCGGAGGTTTCTGGTACTATGGGAGTGTTGGACACACTATTTCGGAGGTTGCTATAGACCGACATTTTGTTAGATAGCCGATCGGCTATAACGAATCTGGCTTCACTGATGATAAGCTCCAAAATTATTTGCTTGTTATCACTGTCAGTGGCTTTTGTACTACAGAATCAAAATATTATGAGTATCGGGCCACAACGTAACTGCTGACGAACTGTCATGCCGATGAATCTTCACGTCAGACAATTACCGAATCGTGTGCCGCTACCGGACAAGTAAGCGTTGAATAAACTCAGCGAGCGCACCTCCAGATTGATGGTTGTAAAATTCTTACACCTTACCATGCAAGTTCGCGTTAGTTACTTTCCGAACCAAGACCAACATGGGTGAGAAACGTTGGGACAGTCGTTTTCCGAAGGGAATTTAAGCGTTAAGACTTGAGATTTTTACAGATGCCCACTGATGTAGTTGTCTGGATGTGGATATGGAATCAACGATTTGCGTTTGCGAAGTTGGGACTGAAAATCTTCGGATAACTTATATTTTCCAGCTTGGAAGAGCTAACAGACACTAGACGCTTTTGCAGAGTGGCGATTCATTAAATGAATCGTGCTCTAGAGTTCAGGATAATTTTGGGTCATCTAGCTCTAGCCACTACTACCTAAACCAACCTAATCTCTAAAAATAAGTTTTCACATAATCCAAAAAATGAATGAACTGTTTAAGCTACCCTTTTAAGCTTCAAAATGAATGAATTTTAAATGAAATTATGAAAGAACGTAAAGCAATAAAATATGATCAAAAACATCACAAACTTTCTCACGTACCGAGATTTATTTTATGCATTACTCCTTCTTCTCCTTTAACCAGTTTATATCTTCTACTTAATTATAAATTTATGCTCCACTCTGTTCTCTTTAAACGCAAAAACGCCTAATTCGTTAGAGCACACAATCAATTTATAATTCGCAACACGTTTACCGTTGGTTTTTTTTTATTTTTTATTATTTTTTATTTTGGCAACAGTGCAAACAACTTTTACCACAAACCAAAGCTGCCAACTCTCGGTTAAAGCCTGGAAGCAATGTAAATCGTGTTTTCCAAACACTTAAATTGATGGGAGTAAGATAAAAATAATAATAATAAACAGTGCATACGGATGTGTTTAAAATATAAAATAAAAATAAATAAATGAAATAAAAAGAAAAAAAAATTAATTTGGGTAAAAAGTAGAAGAAAACAGATTGCGCATAGCTAGCGTTAGAGGAGACAGTGTTAATTAAAAAGTGTTCGATAATTTAAATAATTAAGAAAACCTGTCGCCCAAACTGGATTCTAAGTTGTCTTTAGACACAATACTACATTTAACAAATATAAAAATTGTTATTAGAGAAAAGGTTAATGGGCGCATAAATTTTTTTCAATTTTTATTTTATCTATTTTTTTATAGTTCTTTTTTTTTAGATACATTAATGAAAAATATTGAAAATATATACTTTTTGGGCCAATTCATTTTTCAAAGTGGCGTTAGTCCGATTTTCTAACTCAAAATCAGCTATTTTGGTAATGAGTTTTTGAGGTTAGGTTCTAGTTGTTGCTTAACCTCTAACTTAAAGCGCAACAATTTGTTTTTGATGAGTTTAAAATTAAAGAAAAATGCTGTACACATTCCCTTCTTCCTAGTTTTACTCTCTTTGAATGTTCAAAACAAAATTTTTCATACATTTCATTTCTAACCAAAAAAAAATAACCTCAAAAATAGCTGCAGCAGTGCTGTATAATCAGCTGTGTTATCTCTTCTAATTGAACAGGTAAACCGACAGACATACATATCTATGTACTTGAGTCGGGTTTTTTTATTAGTTTTTTTCTTAATTTCTCTTTTGCTCTCAAGCAGGAAGTCAAAAGGACCGCCAGTCATGACATTTGTTGTTGCG